AAAGTGCTAACGACACAAGTTTCACTTCCAAAACAAGTCACACTAGAAAGTTGGATATCCAAACACTTTTTAGCACTTTTCACAACTTTCACACATAAAAGGCTATCTAAAACTCAAAATAAGTGCTAAAAACTATTCCTAACACCTAATCCATATTCATTGGATATAGGACTACTAGTACAATACATCACATGTATTCAAATACGAGTGTAGCATAAAATCACTCATCAACCCCTTTAATCCCAAAAATAGAAGGGGGAGTTAATTTCATTACATTGCCTTAAAATCATTCGTATCATGCTTAAAACAATTTTATTACATTTGTACTAGTATTTTGGCCCTAATAACATATGTGGCTCAACATACACAGCCGAGACATTTTAAAACAATTATATAGTGCAACTGTAACTAAAATGCAACCTAAAATTAGAAATATTAATCTATTACACAAAGTAAACAATACTTAAAGTCCTATACTAGGAATGCACAGATTCCAAAGCCTCTGGAGCTTTATTCCTTTCTGTACTAGAACTAAAGCTTGTAAAATATTAAATGAAAAGGATGAGTCTAGGCACTCAATAACCAAGATAAGCCTACCTTATGTAATTTTATATCATTTGAAAGGAACACAAGAGTATGAAAATATATTTTCTTGAAAACATGCATTAACACATAATTCCACATATTTCACAACACATCAGTTTTTAATTAATTCACTTTTATGAATTATATGGTACGTAGTCACAAAACACTCAGGCATGTGACCATGACCTGATATCAACACGACTTGCCATAATTCAATCATGTAACATGTCATATAATCATATAAGCAATAATCAACCATCCTTACACCCTTTGACTGAAACCATGAGTTATAACATAAAACAGGGCTCCGGTCATATGATTGGATTACTCAAGTTTACTAATTATGAGGTATGACTTGGCCAAAGCTCACGGTACTCACTCTCAGACCACAGCTTCCCCTACTCTCAAATCTTTGGATGCTGTATACCCTAAGCTATTCTCCTTGATAAACTGGTGGAGATAGCTATAGTTCCTCGACACACTATAAGACAGTCCCTGTACAGACTGTGGGACAAGGTCATACCTCATACACCTGAAGGCAGCCGGAATACAATATAAATTTTCTCTACCCCCATTTCTAGGTGAACTCACACTTACTAATCATGTCATGTACAATGCTCGACCTCTGTTTAAATTTTATTTTCAAAATCAACACATTAGGCTCACGATCATGTGCTACCCAAATAAGCATCAATACTTATTGTCACATATATTCACTACTTTCAAATTTAACATATGTATCTTTATCAAACTCATCATCTACTACTCAATCTCGTAATGCATTATAAATTGCCACTCATTTCAAAATCACTTTTACACTTTAAAGTTCATTTCATAAAACATTTTTATATCTCTTCTTCACATCAAAGCAATTATACACATAGTTTTGTAGCATGTTACTCGAATTCATAAATCACAATTCACATGCTAGACGTACATTTCACATTATATAGTAATTAACATATAACTATCCAACGTGAGGTTCTCTTGATTACCTCAAACTTTTAAAAGATTAAAAGTTTACCCCTCAATGTTAAGCTTCAAAGCTTGATTTTTTTCCAAGCCGCAATGGTGTGTAAGAGCTCAATTTACACATAGCCAATTTTAAACTTCATTATCAATATCAAGTTAAACTTCATCAATATTGCCAAACTCTCACATTTTAACTCTTATCTTTCACTTCTAGATTTTTCAATGCCCACATTGTTTATGTACGGGCCTATTCATTAGATTTATTAACCTTCTTTATCCTCAATAATATTAATGAGCTATTAAACTCCTATTAATGGAATTATCATCCTCTCAACAACCCTCATTAAAATTAAATCTGAATATTAATGAAATTTACTAACCAAAGATGTCAAAACCTATTAATTTAATGTTTAAATATTCCAGTCAACTTTTATTAACTTTATTTGAATCAATAGCTTCGAATTCATAACTTATATGGACTGAAAATCATCTTTCATTATCAAAACCCTAACCGAAACTTTATAAATGTATAAGAGATAGAAAAAAATGGAGTATAGGATACTTACCTTAAGTGTTTATAGCTCCAAAATACTCCCAATGTCATCCAAGTATGAATCCTAACAGAGCTTGATAGCTTATTCTCATTTTTTCCTTTACTTTTTCTATTTGTTTGTGACTTAAGTTTTCTAGAAAAGGTTGTGCATCACGGTGCATGACACAAAGAGGTTTCCTCTCACTTCAGTTGTTGTCCGTGTGCCATGGCGGACGTGTTCTTCTCCTTTTGATATCTGGATGGCCCGACTGCATCCATAATTAGGGTTGAAACACAATCAAAATTAATTATTAGACTTTCCTGACCACACACCACATTAATTTACTCAATTATTATAATTAAGCTTATTTAATTTGGGGATTAAAATTTGAAATGTTACACTAACAATTAGTTGACCATTAAGTTACATATGTTGGACAAAAATACCCCTTATTTAGATATAAATGTTATCTAAAAATCATATGAATTATAAATTAAAGTCAATGCAATTTTTTTACTTTTTTATTTATATTTTAATTTTTTAGTTATATAAACTTGTTTATTTAGTAACATTTTCTAAAATTTAAATGCACAAATTAGAATAAATAATATTTCAAACACGTAATTAAAAACTTAATGAAATAATTATTTAATATAATATATCGCTTAATATAATTCATATTTATTTTTTAACTTTTATTAATAATTTTATGAAAATTTTAAATTATTTAGTTAAATATTAATATAATTATTAATTTTTTTAAATTGGGAGAGAGAGTAGACAATCAAACTATAAAGCTTGAACAATAATTTTAAAATTTTCAATATAATTATGAATAAAAAATAAGTATTTTGAAATTTTAATGGGATATTTTTAACAGCATTAACAGTTAGATTAAAGTATAAGTTTTTAAAATAAAGAGAAGTGCTTTGCATTTTAAGCAAAATAGAAAAAGGTAAATATATTTTACTCTATTTTTTTTAACGCCCATTTTTATTTGATCTAAACACCTGTTTCACGTCGATTACCTTATCCAATCATTTTGCACTAAATATTAATTTCGAAGTAAAAATTATCATCATATGAAGCCTCTGAAAAATGCATGTATTATAGTTAATGTTTTAAAAATGGGATTGGACAATAAATTAAAAAAATCAGCAGATTATAATTCTTACAATTTAATCAGTTAGATTTTTGATCAAACTGATATCATAATAATTAAATAAAAATAATATTTACGTATTTGTATTAAAAAAATAGGTTAAAACAGTTGAATAATTTTAAGTCTTGAGTTTTTTCGTGTCTTCAAACATTACCTTGGTCGAAGTAGGCCAAAAGCAAGTTGATTTTTAGAGTAGGCCTAATGATTGAACCTTAGTGATTCCTTTTCTGAGGGACAGTCTAATTGTTTGGGTTGATCCTAGCAAAAAATTATATGATTCTTGTGTAACAATGTGTGTCTCCGTTTATGGATGAGAATCTAGAGGCTTTTTGCGGGGGGGAAAAAAATACTGAATTTAAAATATCGAAGGGAGAAGGAGTGGCCAAAAAAAGAAAAAAAATCTTGTTTCTCTTTTTAAGATACTACTCCATCAACTACGATAAAATTTAATGTGTTGTTTGATTCTTGGATTTTATTTCCCGGATGAATACAAACAAAAATTGAATGAGAATGAGATTTTATGAGATGGCTAAGCATATCGAGTCATAAAATGAATGCATATTTTATTAAATTATTTACGTTTGGTTGAATGAAATAGATCTACTAATGCCTTAATATAAAAATATCTCAGATCATCTCATAGATAAAAGTTTTCTTATTTTATACTCCCTCCTTTAAAAATTTAAATTTTTTTAACTGAATTTCACACTTTAATAAAGTAGTTATCTATTTTTAATTAATTCTATCTTTTTATATTTATATTTATTAAACACCTTATAATAAATATAAAGTTATTATTTATAGAAACAGTTTTAAAAAAAGGTAATAATTATATTTTAAAAGATTTAAAAATATTTTATATTTTTAAATATTTAATTTTTTAAAAAATATTTTATATTTTTAAATAAAAAAATATTTTAAAATTGGAAAATAAATGAGTGAACTGTTTTTTTCTTTTGTTTTTTGGGGTCCAGTTTCGAGAACGACGGAGTCAAAACGGTCAAATAATTGTTGTGCAGCCTAGACTCGTAAAGACAACTTGCGAGTTTTGGATTAGATGGCCATAAATCTAGTTTCCTGTTATTAGTGGTCGATAGTCAATGTAAAGTAAAATTAATCTAATATCAAAATATAATATTCCTAAGTTATTAAGCATTACTTATTCCGTATTATAATATACTTTTTTTCAAAGGATATAAAATATTTTAGATTTATACTTTTTAAGCTGTAATTAATAGTTTTTTTAGAAAATACCCTTAATTAAATGTATAATTAATTTTTTTCATTAAGACATCCTATTAAATAAATTTTAACATAAAAAAATGCATTATTTAAAATACCACTAACTATTAACTAACTTATTGAAAGTACTGTAAATTAATTTAATTACAAGCACATTGTAATTTTAAATGGAGAAATTAATAATGTTTTTCGAAATAAAATTAATTATGGTTGACACAAAGCGTGGAAACAGTAAATGTTTGAGGTACTCATCGGGAATTAGGGGTCTCTCTCTCTGTTTTTTCTCTCTCTTTTTTGTCACTTTTCTCATTCTCACCATTTAAATTTTTTTATTAAATAATTTTTTTAATAAATGTTGGGAACGAAAGAAGTAAAAAAAAAAAAAAAAAAAAGAAATGAAGAGACCTACTTCCTCAAGAAACAAAGTTAAAACTAAAGGAGACAAGGGTCCAATGATGGCTTGCCAGCCGCGCTCAAGCCCCTTTATAAAATCTGGGGCGCCCTTTACACAGTTCTCTCATTCCATGCTCACTCTCAAATTCCTTCTCTGCCTGTCTCTCTCATCCTTCAACAATGGGAAAGCAAGGCTTGCCAAAGTATCAGGTACACACTCGCTCCTTTACTCCTCATGTTCATCCCTCACACTAGATTGGCATTTAGGTCCATGCCACCCATTGGCTTCCTTTACTCTCGTCCCTAGTTGTTATATTCTAACAGATTTGTTTTCCCATGTAGCGCTGTATTCTCAAGGTGAATATCCACTGCGAGGGCTGCGAGCACAAAGTCAGGAAACTGCTCCAGAAAACCGATGGTATGCCCATAAGTAACAGGCCCCTTTCGTTTCTCCTCCCTTGAATTTGAAATGTCACCACTTTCAAGTTGTTAAGTCTCGTGCCGTGTTGTTATTTCAGGGGTTTATTCTGTCAACATAGACGCGGATTCAGGAAAGGTGCTGGTGGAGGGCAACTTGGATCCGGCCAGACTCATAAGGAAGCTCAAGAGGGCAGGGAAACATGCCGAGTTATGGGGTGGCCAGAGAGGCAACGTGTACAATCAAAACTATCCTCCCACTGACCAGTTCAAAAACTTGCAAATTGATCCTACAAAAATGGGAAAGCACAATGAGCCTCACAAGGTTATCGGGAAGAACCAGCAGATAGGGGGCGGTGGTCAATTGCCACACTTCCAAAACAAAGGAGCGAAGAATCTCATGGTACCCTTCAAGGACCAGAAATCCGTCAAGTTCAACCTACAGGAGGAGGATGATTTCGATGCAAGTGAAGACGACGGCGTGGAAGACCTTGACGAATTTGACGATTATGACGAGTTTGACGACTACGAGGGCGAGGAGGAAGACGATGAAGAGGTCAGGCACGCGCATCCTCTGATGCCAAACAAGGCCGTCAGCATGATGGGTGGTGGAATGGCCATGGCGAACGGACGCGGACCACACGGGCCCGCCATGAATGTTGAGAAAGCAAACGGTGGTGTGAACGGCAAGAAAGGTAAAGTGTTTGATTTGGCCGTACAAATGAAGGGCAAAGGTGGAAATAAAAAAGAGAACGGAGGAGGGAAAAAGAAGAAGAATGGGGAATGGGGAGGAGGCAAAAAAGACAAAGGGGGAAAACGGAAAGCAGACGGTGACAAGAAAGATGGCAAAAGCAGTGGGGGTTTCCTGGGTCGCTTGCTGGGGCTCGGCAAGAACACCAAGAAAGCAGATGTCACCAAGTTTAAGAAAAACGGTGCTCCCAACAACAAAGCCAGTGATAAGGAAGCCAAGAAAAGTGGGGCCAGGTTCGAGGGTCACAACTGTAAAAAACTAGATGATGATGATTTCCGTGCTTTTGATATTCCAATCAAGCCCAAGCCTGGCAAGGGGGTCAAATGTAACGGAAACGCCTTGCCCGGAAAGGCGGGCCACATGGCTCCTCCACCTGCTCAAATGGGGCCGATGCATCAGATGAGGAATATTCCGGTCCCGGCCGTTCAGGGTCTCCCGGCGTCGGCCGCCATGAACGGTGGGTTTTACCAAGGGATGCAAGTGCAGCATCCTCATCCTCTTCCGTATAATCCCCAGCAGCAGCAATACCTGACCATGATGATGAACCAGCAACAACAGCTACAGCAGGCGAATATGAACCATATGTACCCGGCGATGATGTACGGGAGGCCGCAGGGCCCGATGGGTTACATGCCGCCGCCGCCGATGCCGCCGCACCCCATGGCGGATCCGTTGACGCACGTTTTCAGCGACGAGAACACCGAGAGCTGCACTATCATGTGAACGAATGATGAAGTGTCTGTTGGATTGAATGGGGTTTTTCTGTTCCAGTCATGAAATTTTGTTTATGGAAATAGCAATGTGCAAATATTTAGGGTATTTAGTAAGAAGTAATTTGACCATAAGGCATGGTGTGTCGGGTTGGGCTGAAAGCTAACTTTTAATGGGATTGCGAAGAAGGGTCACAGCTAAACTCACATGGCTTTCCTGAAATTCTGAAAGGGGAGGGAGGTCACCCAAATAATGAATTGAATGCTCTTCAGTTATGCCATGGCTAGGACTGGCATGATACCATAGGCGTTCCCCACACACCATGCTGGTCACCGTATTAAATGGGATGCTTGTGCAAGTTTAGACCCACCATCAATTATGACTCGTGAGATGAGCAGCTTTCGTCCTGTTCTGTTCTCCAGTGTAGAGTAAATTCAAAGGGTAAACGGGTAAAATATGTTCTCTCTGATGCCCCGCCGTCAGATAGAGTGGATTGTTGTATTCTGGTTTCATGAGTGCGCATGCCAGCAATTTGACTTCATCGCATCTTCTGCAACTGTATGTATTTTCTACCGCTTCACTAAATGATCAAAAGTTTTCTATTTAAAAAAAAAGAAAAAAGAAAACTCCTTTACTCATAGTGAGCCAACATCCTAGCTGGCTTTAGATCTGCGAGCGTCTCAATTGACAATTTTAACTCTGGAATGGCGAGCGCTGATAATTTTATCACGGACGTACTTATATTTCTTTCGTTTTATTTTTGTTGTTGTTTAAATCCATACCAAGCATGCAAATTGGCTCTGCGAAAGACCTGTTATTTCCTTTTCATTTTCACACTTCAATTACTATTCTTTTCATCCCAAGGAAACTTGTTCTTTTCTTTGTTTTTTTTTTTAATTCTCTAGAGAAAAGAGAAATAGTCGTGCTCTACCTGAATGCACCGCAGGGCGTGGTCCACAATCCCCCGTGGCTGGCAAATAACACCGAGAAAGCAGTACATGATTGTAAGCTATAACGTAAGCACTGGACAGCCAGTTAACGGGCGCCGTGGTTATTTATTTTTGTAAAAAGGGGAATTGTTTGATATATCATATGATTTAGATCCATCATTCAAGATATGATCAAGCAAAAGGAAGGGAGCAATGATTCAAGGGGCTCATAAAGTATTAGCTTTCTCGTTAAACCAAAAACACAGTTAGAAAAGGAGAAAAGAAAAGAACAAAAGAAGAAAAGAGAGACCGAAAGAGAAAGAGAATTCATTGCACACTCGGGCTGGGGTGGCTGCTCTGAATCCTCATGTCTGATGAGAAAGAGAATTCAGAAACAGTGATTTAAAAAACAATAAAATAACATATTGAACTGGGGACACTTTGACCTGGGCATGGCATGCACCTGTGTTTCAAGATGTAGGTGGGCCTGGGTCAATTTATGGCCCAATGGTTTAATGGGCTAACTACAACCCAATAAACATGGGCTTAAGATTAAGCCTACACATTCCAGGCCCAACAAAGCATTGATCCTGTGTGTGGTGAGCCCGAAGCTGTTTCGGTTCTGGCGAATCTCGGGTCAAAGCGTGGTGATGCAGTAGCTGCCATGAGCATGTATCAATATCACATTGGGCGCATGACGACATGACCATCCTCTTAATTTTTTGGCCAAGTTATTATGTACAGGAGAATTAGGATTTCAATCTGAACTATTTATTTAAATGATGAGTTTCTTTTTAATAGTATAAATGATGAACTTCTTTACAGATGAATTGATAATTTGAATTGGTTTTGCCATTCCACTTTTTTTAAAGCTTATTGTTATTTAATATATTTAATAAATAAAAAATATTAAAATGATTGTTACACGGTTGTTATTGGATTCTTTTAATAAAAGAAAATAATAAATTTTTAAATATAATTAGTAAATATTATATTTGAATAATTATTTATTTATCATGTCCTTACTTCTGAGTAGATATATATATATATATATATAAATAAAAAATTAAAGCAAAGCATAAAAAAACGTTCTTGTGAAATAGCGAAAGGTCTCTGCGTCGGGGGAAAAAAAAAGTGAACAAAAGAAAGAGGCCAGGGTAAGGGCAAACGAAACGAGGGGGAAGAGATAGCAGAGGTGGAGCGGGTGACCCCACCCACAACGTGTCCGATCCAATGAGAAAGCAGGAAAGCACGAAGCCAATGTAAAAATTTCTTTCTCCCAAGGAGTATCAGTGAACTTTGGTTTCTCCCTAATTTCTCCATTTTTCTGCGCTTCATTCCATCCCCCGCATCCCACAATGCACTCTTTCGGCTATAGAGCCAACGCTCTGCTCACCTTTGCCGTCACCATTCTCGCCCTCATGTGCGCCCTCGCCTCTCTCTCTGATAATTTCAACTCCCCCACTCCCACCGCCCAAGTCAAGGTCTCTTTCTTTCTATTATTCCCCTTTTGTTTTGCTAATTTGTCTCCTGTAGATCTTTATGTCACCACGTTTCTTCTGCTACCGATTCTGTAGCCCCAGTATGATTTTTGATTGGTGTTTGTTTTGTATTTGGGAATTTAGGTGCTGAACATTAACTGGTTTCAGAAGCAGCCGAACGGCAATGACGAGGTAATTTTTGTCTTTGACGTCTTTTGCTCGCCTGATCAATTACCTCCTGTTTTCCTCCTGATTACTCCTCAGCTGGTTAAGGTCTTTAGGACTACATTTATCTCCGATTCCTGGATTTCTTTTTCTAGATTTAGGGTTGGGTTTTGTTTGAGATAGAATATAGCATCCGAATATCTTGTCTAGTTTTCCATTTTACGCGGATGAATGTCATCTGATCATGGTCAGTTCTGTTTTAACTTTCTGCATTATATATTTCATATTTAAAAACCTGATAGGAAGATCATAGCCATTATATAATTCACTCTTCTACTTATTTGTGGGGTAATTTTCTTTAGTATCAAGCAACAATTAGTTGCCACTCCGGGCTTCTGAGGAAGCAAAGATTCACCTAACCAGCCTCTTGTACTTAATGATCAAGTTAAAGATAAATGATTTTTCGGCATTGGATGAAAGAGTTTCGGATGCAAATAATACTGGAGCTCAAGTAATGATATCAAAAATTTGGATTAGAAAGAAGAGGGGATTCATGGTTCACACGTTGAAGATGTTGTTTTCCGTTTCAATTTCCAAGACTGTCAACTGCTCAACTGTAATTGCAAGCAGTAATCTTACAGATCTGTTCGCATGAGTTACAGAATTTAAGGCACTATGAGTTGGGCTTGATAGAGATAGAACATAGGGGCGGAACATTGTCAATGGAATAATTGGAAAAAGAAATCAAAGCGATGCCGAAGTAAAGGAGATATGCACTCATGGTCTTTAAGTTTAAGCATCATCGTAAAAGCTTGGTTAATGATAGAGCACAATAGTATCATGCAATCCATATAGCTGACCTCATCCAATGAAATAAGGCTTGTTGTTGTTGTATCATACATAGGTGGGATTACTATTGCTACGATGACAATAGTTAGGGTTCACAAAAGTTGAGTGACCTCTCTATGTTTCAAGAATTGCATATTCTTGTATGCAGTTCTTTTCGTCCCAATCTTACCAGGATACTGTTAACAGGAAGGTTTTACCAAGAGATACTATTGGTTGAAGGACCTATTCTTTACATCTTCGTAGGTTTAGATCAAACCTAATTAGCTATATGTTATGGACTGCAAAACTGTGTAAAAAACATGTCGCTTGAAAGGAATCTTGATATTCTCTGCTGCAACCAGTGGGTCAGTGAAATTACTAACTTTTACGATTTGTTGGAGCCTTATACTATATCTAATTCTTAAAATACCTATACGAAAGAGTAATTACTTGTCCTTTGTATCTGTGTTCAATATAAAAATGGAATGCCGGCCAGTATGTTTGACTTGGCATTATGTGTTCAAATATAAGGATACTTGATGAAGCTACCAGCTGTTCTTTCTAATCTATTGATTTTCCTAAGAATTTGCTTCAGATAGTTGCTGAATATCTATACTTTTGACATGAAAATCAAAGTGATCGAGATGTGAAACTCTTGCGTGCTTGAAACTATCAAGCCTTGCTTCTTACGACTTAGACAATTCTGAATGTTTTAGAGGACAGCTCAGCTCCTCTCTTTTGTCTGTATGAATCTGTGGTGATGAGTTTTCCAGATCCAGAATCTCAAAAAAAAAAAAAAAAAAGTAACAAACCAGGAACAGTGGGTAAGATCACAATACTTCTAGCCCTTGGAAGGCAATTTGATAGTAGTATAGTTAATTGCATTCTCTCTGATAGTGCTTATAATCCATATCATATTGTGTCATAAACCACCTCATTGTGATGCCTTTTCTCTGATATTCAAAGTGAAAAAGGCTTTCTATTCTTGCAGGTCAGCATGACACTGAATATATCAGCAGATTTACAAACTCTCTTCACTTGGAACACGAAACAGGTTGATAATTTGAATTTTCAAAATTCATTGCGTTCAATATTTGATTCTGTTAAGTCTTTTTCATATTTCTTCCTTAAAAGCATGGATGCATTTAATAGGAGTTTAATACTGTACTTGGCTGTGATGTAGTTTTATTGCATTTTCAATACTTTCTGCTTCAATTCTTTCCATCTTTAATGCTTAAGGGGCTGTACCTCTGCCTATCAGTATCATGCTTTGCATTCTCATGTTATGTGCAAAATTACTGAAGTTTTGAAAATTGTTTTTAGAATACTTGCATATAACACACAAGATCCTAGTTTCTGATAAATTATTCCAAAATAATTTGGAAGCTTAAGAAGTCCTGAGTTGTTTTGGAACTTAGTTTTGCCTCTTTTGATATGCTTGCAGGTTTTTGTTTTTGTAGCCGCCGAGTATGAAACACCAAAGAATTCCTTGAATCAGGTAAGGGATGATCAGTCTGGTTGTGTAGTATTTGTCACTTATGTAGCCATGTGAAACCATCTGGCACTGCATATGTATGGCTTACAATTCTGGGGTGTCATATTACAGATATCCTTGTGGGATGGAATCATTCCTTCTAAAGAGCATGCAAAGTTTTGGATACATACTTCAAATAAGTACCGCTTCATTGACCAGGTACGCAATCATGTGTTGAAAGCAGGTATGAGTGTGACTGGCATAGATCACTTGAGATTTTAATTAATACCATTTTCATGGAGCAGGGAAGCAATTTACGGGGGAAAGAATTCAACTTGACGTTGCACTGGCATGTCATGCCAAAAACAGGAAAAATGTTTGCGGACAAAATAGTGATGCCAGGGTATCGATTGCCTCAGGAATATAGATGAGTATTTCATTGTGTATTGTTAATGTTGTTGCTGTAACTTTAGACTCTAAAGGGTATAGAAGGTCAGCTTAAAAGGAACTAGTATCTGGGAAATGAATTCTTCCTTGGCATTTGAATACTTGAGACATCCTAACGTTTTGCTGTCTTCATTTGTCTCTTGCGTTGGCCTCGACATTTTAAAAGCTGTTCAGGCCGAATGACGCTTTATCTACTTCTTTCAATGTTTCCCCACTCCTCATAATCTTTTCACGCGGAGAAGTTTTGAAAACTTTTGGCTTAGACTTTTCGATGGCCAAGGTTGAAAGGACGGTCCCATCTCCCTGTCGTTCTTCAAGCAGGAAAGATTGCTTTCTTCTGGAAGAAAATAATTGCTATATACTGAGCTAATTTACATGGGAATCATAAGAAAAATCTGGCAGTTTTTTACAAGTCATTTGGTATTACCGACTGATCTAATTTCGAATTCTTGATATTTTTTACGAGTTTTTCTTATTTGAATCAATCTATAGGTAGAATCATGCTGTTGTTTAAGAGGTTTTTTTTTTTTTGAAGATATCTGGCGACAAATATTTCCAAGGCATTTTGATTTTGAATCATCTACTTTCAAAACGAAATGAACTGGGCTAGAATAAAGCGATTTGTAGTTTCGTTTGTTTCTTCATTTCGTTTGTCAGAAATAAAAAGAAGAATGAATCAACCAGTCCATGCTTGTGGCGTAGGATGTTGAGGGGGTGAGGAGATTAAACCCAGGAATTTATTTCAGGAAACATTATTACTAAAGACATAAACTGTTATATTTATAGTAAAACAGTATTAAAATGAAAATTATAATAATATGGAACAATCTTAATTATAATTATTTCTTATAATTTTTTACAATAAATACCAGTTGTTATAATTGTTTAGTGCAATTTCCCCTTTTTTTTATAGTTAATTAATGAGATAATAACTACGTAAAGGACATTATTTAATTATTTAATCTTAAGTTTCAGGTAAATCATACCAATGCATTTTTATTTAAAACTTTGATTTAGCTCTTCAATTATTTTTAAATGCATGACACTAATTGTGTTTTCTTGACAGAAAATTACTTAATTATATCAATTATTTTTAAAGCATCAAGGCGATTCTTTACTTATTTATTCCTTAAAAAAAACATTAAACTACAGAATCTGTGTTGTAAATATGTAAATCTCAGCTATTAAAGAAAAATGTGTTATCAGCTGTCAAATATGTAGGTGGATCAAATGCATCATATCATTTCTGATTTGTCTCATAAAAATATAATATTTAAATGATATTAAATATAAATTGATGCTAATCAAATGTATATTTTGTTATAAAAATAAAATTAATTATTTCCTATGATAAAAAATATAAAGTATTTTTAATCGAATTTCACTTCCAATAGGGTAGTTATCTACTTTTAAATTAATCATATTTTTTTATATTTATTTTTATTAAATATTTTATAATAAATATAGAGTTATTATTGATAGAGATATTTTTTTAAAAAAATAATGATTATATTTCAACTAAAAATATTTTATATTTTTAAATATTTAATTTTTTAAAAAATAAAAAATATTTTTTAAATGAAGGTTTAATTTTTTAAAAAATATTTTATATTTTTTAAACGAAGAGGGTAAAAAATATTATAAAAGTAACCTGATCTAAGTATTTGGCTCTGTTCCTTTTTGCCGCTTAACCAGGAGAGGATCTTCACGCGGAAAAATCCGAGGATAGTGAGCTGCTGGAGAGAGACCAGAGAGGCCTTTCCTTCCTCAGTGGATGTGGAGGTAATGGGCTAATGGCATGGCCTTCGCTCGCCCCTCCTTGAAAGCCTCTTCTCTTTCACTCTCACTTGTTCTCATCTTTTTCTTCCTCCTCCTCAACCCACCCTCTCCCTTGTCCTCTACCCGCAGATCACTTCTCATCTCCTCTAATTCCATAATCCCCACTTCCTCTTGCTTCCCCGCCAGATCCCGTTCCAATGGCCTCATCGACTACTTCTCCATCCATCATTGCCTTTTCCGCCAAAACTCCTTCCATTCCATCCCTTTTCTTTCCCTCCTCCTCCTTTTACATTTCTATATCCTCATCAAAACCGCCCAAGATCATTTCTCCATCGTCACCACCAAGCTCGCACTTCACCTCAACTTGTCTCCCAGCATGGCTGCTGTAACCCTCTTAGCTTTGGGTAATGGTGCGCCCGATGTTTTCGCTTCTGTCGCTGCTCTTCGCGGGGGCCAGTATCGAACCGGGTTGGCCGCGATTCTCTCAGCCGGCACCTTCGTCTCAGCTTTTGTAGTTGGGTTTGTAGCAATTTACGCCGCACCCTTTTCTGTTGATCCCGCTCCCTTTGTGAGGGATGTCTTATTTTACTTGATCTCCGTCTTGTTCCTCTTCTATGCGTATCTCAGTGCCGAGATTTCTCTCTGGCAAGCAGCTGGCTTTGTGGGTTTTTATTTGTTTTTTGTTGGTTTTGTGTTTTACATGGATTTGGGATGGGGAAGTCGTAGGGAGAAGTGTGGGAGTGTGGGGGGTTTTGCTGGCGATCTAGAGGGACAAAAGGAACCAATTATAGCCAGCTGCGACGTCAAAGTATCAGGAAGTCTACAGGAAAAGAAACGCAGCTCTAGATTTCGTCGCAGTTTTGAAATGGTATGGTTAAAATAGCCTGTGAGAATTTAGGTTTTAATCCGTATGTTTTGCTATCTAAGATTGTTTGTTTGTCTTCTATTGTTAGTTCCGTATATGTGAATCATGATCTGCTGATGACTTGCCTGTTAATATATCGACGATTTAGGGCGCTTAGTAATTTAACTTTTTCTGGGTCTGTAATGGCTGGAAGAAATTGTGGTCAGGACTGGAGTTTGCGTGTGTGAATCGTCATGGATGAATACTAACTTATAGCTATTGATTAGCATATTTTGGGGCCAGTTTATTTGTGGTATTATAGATATTGGCAGCTTTGTTCTGGTTGTCTTGCCTTGGCACCTATATTTTTTTCTTTGGGGCTTCCCTAACAGGTTGAGTAAATTGAAGATATCTTCTAAATTGTTAAAAGGCGTGAACATTATAACTGATGGAGTCTTGTTCCTAGTACTGAGTATTATATCATGATAAAACTTTTCCTGTTTGGCTCAACACCTCCAATTTCCGTTTTCTTGTGGTTCATCTTCACATACCTTCGTCTCCATTTGCTATTTGTCCTAACTTATATATTTTTTCTGCATGTATAGAACATAAGGAAACAAAAATTATCTGATATAATGGCCTTTTGGGTTATTTTAATAAAATCAGCATCGAGGGCTAAAAATTTTCTGTGCTTGATGGCTAATGAGCGTGTTTAATCTATTAGCTTTCGGGCAAGCTTCTTTCGCAAAATGGTAAAAGATGATTTGACTTGTCAATATCCAGCCCCTGAAGAGAAACTTACATTTTCTTTTTTCTTTTTAATTCAAGTTTGCATGTCGAATATGGTAAATAGTGGAAACTGGGTATGCAGTTAACTTTGAAGCCATCATGTCTTTCATATCCATAAGATATGGACAGCTTTCCACCATCTGCTTGTTCAGCTCCCTTAGAGCAAAGACCCCCCCCCCAGCTGTGAAGCATAGATACTTCAAAAAAGTAAATATATCCGTATCCAATACGATACTTGCAGGAGATTCCTGTATACATATCCCATATTCTAACATTTGTAATATGATTTTGTTTTCAATAATTTTTTATTATATCACTTAAAAACTTGATAAAACACTTATTATTTTGGTTGATTGTTATAAATATCCTTATATTACTTTAAAAATTCTTGTTTAAAAATTAAAATACATATACCTATGTCATAAAATGTTGAAATATATATTATAAATATCCCTGTACTAATATCCTAAAATTTTGAAAATTTGCCATATCGTCGTATCATGCCATATCATATTGGATACTCGTACCTATATTTTTGCAACCTAGTCCCCAAGTTTCTGTGATTTCATCAGGGAGGAGGAGGGTTGATGTCATTTTATTATCAAAGAGAAAATCTCTATTTAAAAACCATAGAGAGAGGAAAGTTTAAATTACTCAAAATTTTCTTTTTTGGAGAGTAACATTAAACTTTTGTATGAATTTCTTTATTTAGCTAAAATAAATGCTCTGAACACATCTGGGTGGCATTTTTCTTGACACTTCAGATATTTCATAGACCTCCCGATTTTTGGTTCTCTAGAAGTTTATCTTATTTTGCCCCCTCTTCTCAAGGGACTATAAATAGCTAGTTAGCAAAATCAAGAACTTGCTATGCTCAAGTCTTGAAAGTTTTTTATGAATCCTTTTTTTGTCAATAAATGATATCTGCATGCATATTAAAAATAGTGAGACCTAAATACAATACAATATATTGATAATGGCGTGTAAATATTCAAGCTTCTTTCCTTCACCTTTCTGTATTTTCCTAAGTTCCAAACAACACAAGAAATTGATTTAGTAAAATATATTAGTGACTAGGATCTGTATTCTGAAACTTACCCTGCCATTAGACAATCAGATGTTTTGAAGTTCTTATATCTAGATTTAGTTGATTTTGTCCTTATCAAGTTAATCTTAATTCTTTAATAACTGTACAGACTTGTCATTGTCTGAACTAATTTCTTATCCGTGTTTACAGGTTTCAGTAATATGGGAGCGTCCAGTCTCAATTCTCCTAAAATTGACAATACCTCAATCTGGACCAACAGAATGGAGCAGATTTTATGCATCAGCTAATATTACTCTTTGTCCCCTAGCCATTTTGTATGCCTGCAACTCATTGATTCCATTTAGTTATCCAATAGTTTTCCTCCTTCCCAACATTCATTTCCCCCTTTGGTTGGTGGTGCTCATGGCAAGCTTCTCTCTTGCACTTCTTCACTTCATAATTGAAAAAGAACCCCCAAAAGCTGAGGAAATTCCTGTAGTGCTCGTAGGATTTGTGATGAGTGTGTTTTGGGTATCTACTGTGGCTGGAGAACTGCTAAACTGCCTCGCAGCATTAGGTACACTGCTCGAACTGCCACCAGCACTGCTTGGTCTTACAGTGTTGGCATGGGGAAATTCAGTGGGGGATCTTGTTGCTGATGTTGCAGTTGCTAAAGCTGGCCATCCAGCGATGGCAATGGCTGGGTGCTTTGCTGGACCAATGTTCAACATGCTCGTGGGGCTCGGGACTGCGCTGGTGATGCAGACTGCCAGACTTTATCCCAGTGCTTATGTGCTTAAGTTTCACGCGGGTATTGTCATAGCATTTGTATTCCTGCTTCTGAGCCTCATGGGGTCTCTTCTGGTGATCACTTGGTGCAGATTTCGAGTTCCTAGGTTTTGGGGATTCTGTCTGGTTGGGCTCTATATTGCTTTTACGGCAGTAAGCGTGGTGGTAGCCATGTTTTGAGGAGGATCGGTCTTCTGCGATGGATTTAATTTCATTTTGTATACTGATACGTAACCAATAAGCCAGCCGCCTCTACTTTTGCTGGTGCTGTCGTTTGGCTCTCCACAGAGGGGCATTGTAATTGTTGGAGAAAGAACAATTTAGCACCAGGGCATAGTAAAATTGATGATAGCCAATTGGCCATGTAGATGAGATTATTATTCCTTCCTTCCCGTTCAATCTCCATTTGGTAGATTTTTTTAATGTATAATCTTAGCTGTAAGGAGCAGACGTCAGTGAAGCGTGGTCGTTCGTCTGGTGTGTGTGTGTGTGTGTGTGTGTGTGTGTGTGTGTGTGTATTTACCAAGCTCAGTTGGGACTAACACGTTTCTGTTATGTGTTAGATGGTCATTACACCCTTGTAAAAATGCGCATTTTTCTTTATATACATTAATGAGCAGGAACATGGATTGATATTTATTAACTGGCATTACAATGTCAAAAAACCTCACATTGGTTGGCTCAACAAGCTGTTTGACGTAATGACTGCCGTTTGAAGTCGGGAATTAACCGCTAATCATTATCCATGTTAGCTGACAAACAGTGGATATAGGACTTGTCCCATTACTGCATTCATGAGCCAACTCATCCTTGGGTTGAAACTGAACTCTTAAATCATGACATCAGACTCGTCCAATCGATTCGGAGTCGGCTCTTGCATTTCTGTCCTGTCCTTGGCCGGCTCGTCTTTAACACGAACCTCGGTTTTTTTTTTTTTTTGGAGGCGGGGGTGGTTCGGTTGGTGTTGGTTTCCTTTTTATTTTTTACATACGATCATCAAAGCGGCGAGAGGACACTCCTCCACCCGCCTCATTATTTCTCAGTTTAGTATATGATTCGTTGTTTAAAAATCATCAAAACCGATGAAAGCAGGTATTTCTGAACCTTTTTTTTTTAAAAAAAAAATTTGAGCTTAATCGGTGGTGTTTCTGTTTCGGCACAAACGTTTTTTCCCCCCCTACGCACGCCCTCGGAGACAAGATACAGAAGTCGCAAGGTTTCCACCAAAATGGCTATTGGAAGCACTATTAACCACTGGGGAAGGAGGGTCAAATGATTGTTTATTCATGAGGAGTAAATAAATGCCATGTTATGCTTAGGTCACCACTAGCTTTGATTAGCCTTCTCATTTACCATCTTCGAAGGGCCTCCCCTGTTTCGGTCTTTTTGGCCTCTCGGTGCGGAAAGCATCACTCATACTCTCATCATCGCTGACTTATTCAAATCGTTCATTCTTGAGAACCTTTTTGTTTCCACTCAAGGGGCCAGTGCTTCGTCTCTTTATGCTTGCTTTAACCGACTGACCAATTGCCAAACCCTTGTTTGTTTTTCACACATGTGATCATGTCTATCATTTCCATGAATTATCCTTTTTTATTTTACTTTTCTAAATCAGTCAATACAGAAAGCATCCGGCTTTTTCTGTTGGTCCATATTTAGAAAAAGAAGCGAGTATATGCCGTTAATAATTGATGGTCAAGTCTTGCCAGAATTATTGCCAGTTTCAGTAATTCGGTACTAAATAAAAAAAAAAAATCACGTGTTGTTGACTTGCTAGTTAATAAAAGGTCTCCACAATTATAAATACTTGGAACATTTGGTGGCAACTTAACTAGTTCGTGGATCCTTATTTTGCTCAAGCTTATAATTTTTTAGTGTACATATATAGATATTATGTTGTTTCATTTCACTAACTGCACCATAAATTCTACCAAGTATTTTTCCTTACAAGTTGCATGCTGTTGTCAACCAACTATTTGTAAGCTCCATTCCATTTTAGAAATGTTACTTATAGATTTAAATTTTGTTTGATAACATCTATACATCTAAAATTATAACGTAAAAATGCATGGTTTTATTTTCAATGTCAAGAAATCAATTTTCAGCGTGTTTGCTTAGGGAGAAGGGTCTCTCCTTTTTCACTCTCATTTTCTCTCCACTTTTCCTATTTTAACCATTCATTAATTTTATAATTAAAAAATTATTTAATAAAATAATATGAATAGTTAAGATTAGGGAAGTGGAGAGAAAATGGGAGTAAAACCAGTGAAGGATTATATAATTATTTTTTTATATAAATTAATAAAATTAAATATTTAAAACAACACTAGCATTAGAATAACGTAAAAGACTCTTTATATACAACATCATGTTCTTTTTAATTTTCATTAAATAAAATTTATATTCCCTCACTTAAAAAATGTAAGACATTTTTAATTAAATTTCACCTTAGTAAATTAGTTAGTTATTTTTGAACTAACATCATTTTTTCATATTTATCCTTATTTAATAATGTATTTTACTTTAAAATAAATATAAAGTGATCTATTTATAAGGAACACTTTTCAAAAAACATATTAATTACACATTAAAACACTAAAAATACTTTATATTTTTTAACATCCAACACTTAAAAAAATACTTGAGAGAGTATACCTCTTTTATATGGTAGAGAATTTTGCACACAAAAATCTCTTCATTTTCTTATCATCATTTTGCCTCCAAAGAAATTGCATGTTTGAGAATTTTTTGTATAAATTTTTTTTCATAAACAAATTTTTTCTAAACTATTACCTTTCCATCATAAAATTATTTCTATTCAAGGTTATATATATATTGTAGTTTTAGATAATAAATTTTTTAATGGGATAAGTAAAAATTTATAAAGAAATAAATGAAATTCTTTTAAAGTGAGAGGGCAATAAAAATATAACTTAAGTCATTTTAAGTAATATTTTCTTGGGTTTGGGGGGGGGGAATTGCCCTCTCTATGGGAAACGTGGATCCGTCCTTGAGTAAAACAAAAGAAAATTAATTATTAAAAAATTAATTAATAATTGTAAAAATTATTAATGAAAACACATTACCTTCATTCAATTCTTAATATATTTTGTAATAATTAATTTTTTTTCTGTAAAAGTTAAGTGTAATTCTCTCTTTTAAAAAAAAAAAAACGGAGAGATCAATGCAGAGGTTGAAGCAGAGGAGGGTTCGATAAGGGTAAATTCGTCAACACGAAAAATCTTCGACATTTTGGGTAATGTAAGGTCTTGCTGATTTTAATTATAAGGGAAAAAAACAGAAGAGTTAGGTTCTGACAACTATTAGTCAGAATCGATCACCCAGCTTTTTTGGTACTTCCCTATCGTAGGTTCGTTCCCGCAAAACATCATTAATCCTCACGAAATTTCTGTTTTTACATGTTTGTTCTGAAACCCTAAATTTTTGTCACCTGTAAGTCTTGGGATCTTTCACACTACGGAATACTTCCCTATAAAGAGCTTCTGGCCTACGACTCACCCCAATTCTCATGGCGTAGATCTTTCAACACGAAATTGTAAAACCAACTTCTGATTATTTTTCACCTTCCCTTCTTTTGGATTTCAGGTCCTCGATACTGCAGAGCAGAGAAGAGCATCACCTGTTCAAGAAGGTAAAAACTCTAGCTTTAAGGACGCTTGTGTCTTTGTTTACGTTTTCCCATTTGTCTATCTATATGTAGTCATGCTTGCATAGCGCAACGTTTGTCTTGAGAGCTTTTCCTACGACTGTGTCTAACTCATTGAATCTTCAGTAACTTTTGATTGCGCTCTGTTAGCTATTTTCTGCGGTTAGAACTTTCTCTGCTGTGAGAGCTTTATTTTTGCTTGTTAATATCAGGCATACTGTTAAAAGTTCCGATTCATATTCGCTACTTATTGCTTGTTAATATCAGGCATACAAATAATTATTGGATGCATGCTCTGAGTCTTTTTCAGCAACTAAAAGATGACGTGATTGTGAAATCCTATTTTCTTTTTTTCCTCTTAAACGCATGTAGCTCAATTAATGAGTAATTGTCCCTGGATTTCTTGAAATGATTTGAAGCTTCTTAAACGGAGGCTTTCTTTTGCAAAGACAATTTGTTCTCTGGAAAGGTCCTTTCTTCTCTCTCTCTCTTTTTTTTTATTTGGCTTTGCTGTTTGTTAGGTGTGTATTATTTCTCTTAGCCACTGCGCATTACCTTGCCGGAACAATTTCGTGGCCTTTACGTTTCAGGTGTAATTTTGACTAGGGAAAGCTGTTTATACGAACACGAGAATCAGGGTCACAAAAGTCCCATTTTTCTTGCTGCTGTTGTGATTCTGTTCATCTGGCGATTCCACTTTTGGAATAAAGAAATGTGCTCAACATATATTTACTAATATAGATTCAAATTTGCTTTGACATTAGATGACATTTTGATTTGTCTTGGAACAGGATGGATCATCAAGGGCATAACCAGAACCCATCCATGGGGGTTGTCAGCAGTGGAGCTCAACTGCCTTATGCTTCAAACCCATACCAGCCGACCCAAATAACTGCAACACCAGGATCCACCGCTGCATCAGTCGGGACCGTTCAATACAGTGGTCAGCCTGCCGGAGCTCAACTGGGACAACACCAAATTGCTTATCAGCACATTCACCAGCAACAGCAGCAGCAACTTCAGCAGCAACTCCAAACCTTTTGGACAAATCAGTACCAAGAAATTGAGAAGGCTACTGATTTCAAGAATCACAGCCTTCCCTTGGCCAGGATCAAGAAGATAATGAAAGCTGATGAGGATGTTCGGATGATATCAGCTGAGGCGCCAGTCATATTTGCAAGGGCATGTGAGATGTTTATACTAGAGCTGACCTTGCGTTCTTGGAATCACACTGAGGAGAACAAAAGGAGAACGCTTCAGAAGAACGATATTGCAGCAGCAATCACAAGGACTGATATCTTTGATTTCTTGGTTGACATCGTGCCCCGTGAGGATTTGAAAGATGAAGTGCTTGCATCAATCCCTAGAGGGACAATGCCGGTTGCAGGGCATGCTGATGCACTTCCGTATTGTTATATGCCACCTCAGCATGCACCGCAAGTAGGCACTGCTGGTGTCATAATGGGGAAGCCTGTGATGGACCCCACCATGTATGCCCAACAGTCCCATCCTTACATGGCACACCAAATGTGGCCACAGCCTCAAGAGCAACGACAATCAACTCCAGATAGTTAGATGCTAGCTGTGGTATGATGCAAGTGTCATGCAACTTCAGGTCAGCTTCAGGCTCTCCCTGTATGATTCTCTGCCTCCTCCACCCCCTTTTCTAAGTCTGTGTTTTAATTGTTATGATCTTGTTCCAGTTAAAAAAAAAAAAAGTAAATTTTGGTTCTGCAGTTCATGAATATTAATTTCCTGCTTCATCTGCTATTGCTCAAGGATTCAAGATGCATGGTTTGTTTATTTTGGTGGTTTAACTCTATCATATATTTGTCATATATGCAGTAGTTTCATCCTGAATGATCGCCAAGAAATGCTTTTATTTTTTTATTCGGTGGCTGTCTCTGACATTATAGTTGTGCGATCATAATTACTTCTCCTGCAAGATTGTGAGCGCAAATAATATAAATATATGCTTTGGTAATGGTTTCCTCATTTCCTTTGTGCTCTTTTACAGTTGCGCTTTGCTGAGTTTCTTCAAGAAGTTTGTTTCATTTGACCAGCTGCAATTATCTTTGCTCCTTTTTATTTCGTACCGCTAACAATCATAATTCTTTTTGTGCTGTTTTTGCGCCTCCTTTCTGGCTTGCGGATTGCTGGTACAGAGCGATGAGCTTAGGATGTCAAATCGAGGGGGAGGTTGAGAAAGTCCTTGGCGTTCGGTAACTGTAGCTCATTAGCTTACAAACGAAACAATCCTTGGTTATATGTAGATAATGTGCTAGTGGAATCTTACTTCATTCTGATAAAGTTGGTGTTTTATTGTTGTTTAACTTGCGCTTCCTAAGACGGTGATAGGTTTACTCACAGCTGTATAGTAGACTACTATCTTCTTGGAATTTAGCTGCTTTTCAATGGAACGTTATATGCAATCTCAGGATTCCGCTTTCGATTTCGTTGTCATCACAGGCTTAGGCTTCATTGTCATATTTTGCGCGCATATTTCTACCACCAAAATGTCTCATCCGTTGCCAAAGCTAACGAAGGGTGCGTGAAATTCTTCATTACAGTAATCACAATTCTTAGGCCAGAGTTTGAGTTGAGCCGTGAGATATAACCTAGATGCATACACTAATCCCCTGCCAGCGGTTTGAAAGTGGAAATGAAAGCAGAATCCAGGTGCAAACTTGTTTTGTCCTTCCAGGAAACCTTGACACATACACCAGTAGTTCATTCCATGATAGTGCATTGTTTCAGATCATTATGCCCTCAATTATTTGAATTATTATCAAAATGTCCCTAGTCCTTAGCGAGAATAATCCCATTGATTTGTTTCTTGTGTGGTGACCAGGCATATTGTTAATAGGGACACAATTCATCTAGATCGTCTAGATGAGACTTAATTGGTTTAATTTTTTTTAAAAAAAATATTTTAGTACTTTTTATTTTTAATTATGACAAATACAAGCTAATATCAATTTTACAACCACTAATTTACAAAATAAACATTTTGATTTAAAAATACCAAAATAGAATAATGAAATACGAAACATCCTGGATGATATACAAGAAATATGCACAATGCTCATGCCTTGGAATGTGCACTATCCAGACCCCTTTTACAAATGGAATCTAAGTAGCCCTTGCCCATCGGGGACTTCCTAAAATGCGTAGATCAACAATCCGCCCGGCCCAGAATCGGCGAGTAATGAAACTAGTAATGAAGATGACTTCTGAAGATGGGTCAGTCAGGCCAGGAAAAGAATCAACAGAACAACAATACCCTCCAGAAGATATCTACGAATGGATTAACTTATATATCATGGCCGCTAATTCAACATCAAGGTCAGATAGCACGTGAACTGCAGAATTACTATCAAGTTGTCCAAAAATATGAAAAAGATAGATGTATTATTAAATTTTGTCCATTCCAAACCACATGATCTTTGCATCAACTTGGGTAAATTTGCAGTAGCCTGCAAAGCTAGAAGAAAAGGTTATATATTCTAATAAGGCAAGGCCTTTGTCAGTTTGCATAATTCCCCACTTTCATAACAATTCCTTCAAGGATCCCGTCAGTGCCAAAGTTTCCAGAAAACTGATAGGGATCAACCGGACCAGGCAGCTGAAATGAGATGGAAAATTGCCCAGGTGGACAAAGGTTCTGACTTTGCATTTCAAACACCTGAGAGTACCTGCATACTGTTTTCTCCCCTGTTGTAGTTACTCCCCGTATCAATACTTTACCATCAGTGTCCACTTCACAGCTGAACTCGCCTGAGTCATAATAGATTCAAAACTCATCAATCATCTGTAGTGGGATATGAGGCTGTAGTTTAGCAATGTAAGATGCATTTCGAAATACAATTTAGAGACAAATGCCAATTATGTCAGAAATAAATCATTGACGTCTCACAAGCAACTTACTTTCATCCCTCTTCACTCCAGGGAGAGATACACGGAACAGATACGAGTCTTCACATTCTCCAATGTCCATAAGTCCTATGATTGGTCCCACCTGCCTCATAGCTGCACTTCCAGTTAACGCAAATCCACTCTTTGTAGCAGCTACAATTTCAGACAATTCCTTGTTGGTTGGGTGATGAGGAAGAAATATCATAGCTGGACCAGCTCTCTCAGGGTCAGAGTCTTCTTCAGGTGGCAATTGAGCCATGTAATTAGACATCATATCTGTACCATTATATGGTGCGCCACTGATAGGTGCCGAAGCATAGACATGTTGCAAAGGATCCAACTTCGAATAATTTATTTCACTGATTCTTGCTTTTTGACAATTGCTATTAGACTGGATAGGTGGCATTTTTCCATTAGCCTCAGCCTCATGTACATTATACCGAGCACTGCCATCAAGAGAAGTGCGTGATGTTACAGGACACCTGTTCACATGGAAATCCTCTAGCCCACTTAGCCTCCTGAACCTTTCAATATCATCTGGGTTGATGTAAGAGGTTTCTGGGTTGTTGATAAATATGATGTTCTCAATGATTTTAGATCGACGTTTTAACATCGACTGAGGGTGCAGTTCAGGGGGAAACAAATCAGCAAACTGCGGGTACCTGGCAGCACTATTGTGAACTAGACAAGAAATATTACCTTGAAAGAATTGACGCAATAAGGTTAGCTTGACAATAACTGATTTATCAGCCTTCTTAAGTACATAGTAGTAGATGTGCTCTAATTCCACTATTCTCATGAAAGAATTTGTTAGTTGAACAGATGTGTATGGAGGAAGTCCCTCAGCTACTCTTTGCAATACAGATTTTTGGTTCTTCTCCCCTCTAATATCAGGACCGAAGTAGGTGCCCATGATAAAGTACAAGAGAAAGCACTGATCATCATTAATTGTTCTACTTTTTAACCTAGTTGATCCCGATCCTACTGTAGCAGGGGATTCTTCTGCAGCCTGAGATGAGCCATCCATTGGAGCCGTACAATATCACAAAGAAAGCCAGATTCTGCACGGAATATAACAGCCAATAATTGAAAAAAAAAAAAAGACTTTCAACTTCTGAAAGTCAATGTTCAGATGCAAACATCGCTTGTGCGATGAAAACTGTGCAAAACTTGAAATGGGATGTTTTTATTTTACTACCATGGGATTTTACATATGGCGATAACAAAAAATTAAACTTGAAATGCTTGGCAAACAAAGCCCACTCAATTGTAAGAGAAAAATATATTTTTTTGAGGGAAATAAAAAAAAATGGAATTCCAAACTAATGCATATTTGCAAGAGAGAACTTAACATTTGAACCCCCGCCCCAAAAAATTAACAAAAAAAAAAAATTAGTTGCTTGAAAGCAGCTTTTGTTGTTGGCACAGATTAGAACATATGATAACTGCCACCACCACCATAATCACCACAAGAGCACTACTAACCATCACCACTCACCATTATATTTTGTTAAGGAATCATACAAACCCATCCACCATTGTCATAGCATTTACTGCATTGACCATTCTACAGCCGCAGAAGGCCAATTCACCAGCACCAACAAAATCCACAAGGTGCAGGGGATGCATTCAGCCTTTTGTTTTTTTGTTTTTTTTTCAGGCGTAAAAGAATCAATTAAGAAGGTAAAATTCATATCCACAATAACAAAAACTGATAGCGAGAGAAAATGTGTAAATCCACCAGCTCTATTCCCCTCTCATCGCCAACTCACACACACACCATCTCTATCAAGACTACCTACACTTGCCATTAGCGCCCCAAAACCACCATTACACTTTTGCTATCACCACCAATAGAAACAAAAGATTTCATTGTTTGTTGAGAATGGCATCTTCGAGGCTAAAAGTCTAGGATTTTCCCTCTAATCTTATTCCCTAAGGGGATGTTTGTCCTAGAGCTAGAAACCATTTGCGAATTGCAAACTTTTTCATTGTTTATAATGTCATCCCTGAAAGAAAAGTAAGAGAACAAGAAGCTGAATACAGGAACAATGCCTCAGTCATGAAGAGGAAAAAATAAACATACCTAAAGAGAATTACAAAGGAACAACAGGAAATAAAATCATACAGCTGAAAAAGAGGGACCGCAAATGCACAGCATCTAATTTTAGCCACCGCCCACTGAAACGTCCCATCAAAATTTTTTGCCAATAAGAATTGGCTTATCCAGGTAAAAATTGGTTGGTAACAGATCTGTTGCCATTACTGCTAACTAAATCAGATGTTTGAAGACTTGAGCATCAACAAACCACTTGATCAGTTGATCCTTCGTGTAGTGTTGCCTTTCAGTTTCACTGGCACACAAGCTTGAAGCTTCTCTCGTGTTGCTTTCCAAATTCAGAGCTGAAAGACGATTTGATAACATTTAACAGGCTATATTGCAATTTGCAATATTAAAAATTTACTTCCATAGAAATTAGAAAATGAAGCAAATTGCCATATTCAACCAAGTGAACCGGAAAAATCTATTTATTTATATTAAATTGACAATCATATAGCTAAATACAATGGTTAAAAAAGACCCATCACTACAAACGGAATGTCTACTGTATCAAATCCACGCAAGTTTACTCTTTCATAATTTCACCCATTTTGCCAGCCACAATAGTATAGGGATAGGGCACAAACCAACAAAATCATTGGTCAGCTCAAAACAGAGTGAACAGTACCAAATGCCAGTGCAATATCAACTCAAATCCATGAAAAGCCAATTGTATCGATGATCCCAAGTTGTACATATAAACACTTGTTCAGGTAGAAATGGTGAAAATTAGCGGCGCACGACAGAGCCAATGCAAATAAATTCTCAAAACATGCGATAAAATATTCAGTAAGTTAAAATCAACAGGTTCCAGTAATAGCATAAAACGGTATTCGGAGAGAGGCGGAAGGACCAGTGAAGTTTGTTATTAATCGATCAAATTATTGGGCGGCAAAGAATACCAGTTGATGAAACAACTGTTACCACGCTGATGTATACTTCAAACACGAGTATTGACGAGCTACGAGTAATAGGTGCCCTTGTTTTGAACAAAATATGATTTGCGCGCCAGCACAGAGCATGCCTTATTCCGAAGCTTCCAACTTTATAGTAATATAATAGCAAGCAAAGCCAGGCGTCAGAAACTCAAATGTTGAGATGTTGATAGAGAAGGGAAGCCACCTTGCGTTGGGAGCAGCAGGAATTGCAGCAGCGATCTCTTGGAACCCCGTCGTCCGTGGGACTAAACCCCAAATCCCATTCAGGCTTCATAGACGAGGTCTCGCGGATGCGAAACGTAATATCACCGCCCTTCACGCACCATCGTTCATTCACTTCAACTTTTTTTTTTTTTTTTATTGGCTAGATTCGCTTTAATGTTTGCTACTCGTTATATTTATAAATTACTTTTAATATATTTTATTATTATAAAAAATTTAAAAATTTATTAATTTTATCTTAAAATAAAATATTTCCTCAATTAAAAAATACAAAATATTTTTTTAAAAGTTAAATATTAAAAAATATAAAATATTTTTAATTTTTTAAGATGTAATTATTACTTTTTTTTAAAATATCCCTATTAATAATAATTTTATATTTATTATAAGATATTTAATAAAAATAAATATAAAAAGATAAGATTAGTTAAAAAATATAAAATTATTTTATTGAGAAATGAGATTTAATTAAAAATATTTTATATTTTTTAATAGAGGGAGTGAGTTTTTAACTTTATTTTTATTAAACATACATATTTTAATAATATATTTTCTTTCTTTAGTATTCAATGAAAGATAAAAAACATATTTAAAATAAAAATTTAATAATATGATTAATAAATAGGATAAAAAAATTTATTTCTCTATTTTATAAATAAAACTAGAGACACTAACTATCTATCTGCCAAAAAAACTTACTATCTAGATTGGGCGTACAAAAACCTTAAACAAGGTCTAACATTAGTTTTCTGAATTGACACTAATATATAAGAAACCATATATAAAAATAAAAATTATAATTAAGATCACATATTTTTCAAACTCTATAAAATCTCCGTCTGTATATAGTTCATATTTATGTTGTCCTTTAATTTGTCCAATAATCTCAATTTTCACTAAGCTCAGAGAATAACTACGACCGGGCTCCCCAATCCCACAAGTAAAGTGGGGGCCTGACATGTAAAGTTACCGAGGCAATTATCCTCACCAGAATTTTTTCCCATATTATTTATAAAAATTAATAAATTTTTTCGATGTTTAATATTTTATTCTAGTGCCGTTATGCTTTCATCGTCTCTCTTTTGATATTCTTGTGTTTTATTTTTCCTGTGTGTTTTGCCACATACTTACCATCTCTGTCCCGCTCTTCTTTCGGACTCGCCCACCACACTTGTAGCCATCAAACTATCCTTTTGTTCTTAAAAGATACCCTTCTCATCTTAAATTATAAATTATAAGATAATTTTAAATAAAATTTTATAGATAAAAAAATATTATTAAATATACTTAATAATTTTATCTTTTTAAAATAAAAATATAAAATTTTAAAAATACCTATCATTTAATATATTAAAAAGATAAGGGACATAAATTAATTATAGAAAGAGAAAGAATACTATTAAAATTAATGCATTTAATAAAATCTTAATTTACTTAAAGTATCTTATATTTTAAAATATAAATTTTCTTTTAAAAGTATCATATAATTTAAAATGAAAGAGTACTATCAAACTATCATTAATCGTATAGTCACTTACCTCTTTGGCTCTTTCATGTTTTGCATTTGACGGCTCAAGCTTCAAACAAAGACGCGCCATCCTTTGCACTGCATTTACTCTAATATATTTGTTAGCTGTATGCAAATTAAACCCCCGCCCCCCCCCCCCCCCCAAAAAAAAAACATGTTACTTGATTCTTGTGGTCATCGAGAATCATTCGCACAATAAATGAATTTTTGATCGATAAAGGGAAATTTCTGTCACCTTTGACTTTGAACGACTGAAGTCATGTATCGAGAATAACGGCTAGAAATGCCAATTGGAATCAGATGATTATTATCATGAAAGTCTCTTGGAAGTTGGATAATTACTACTGTAGTTGTCCAACTTCTTGATTATAATGCTTCATTCTGGCCTCTATATTGCACCACAAAACAAAGGAGTTTCAGTCCAATCGTTTAGTAAATCAATCAATCTGAGAATACATGGGCCACTTACACTGGCAGCATAGTGTGTGGGAAGCCCAGAGCACAATAATTTAAAAATCACACTTGAGAATGTGACAATTAAAAACCAATTAATTGTGTTTTTTTTACCACAATCTCTCCGCAAATCATGCTTGTAGCCACAGGCCTGGTGGTCACAGCAAGCCCTGATAAGCCTTGAGGGTCGGACTTGAAGATCCTGTTTAAATAAGAGTTCGAGCTTTGAAAATAATTTTTTTTAAAGTAATCGAGCTTAAAGGCTTGGCCCTGATAAGCCCTGTAAAAAAAGGCTCAAACTCGAGTAGCCCTTCAAGCCCTGTTTTATTATTATTATTATTATTTTCTTTGACGGAACATGTATTTGAAGCCAATGACCTACTCACTTGATCTTATACTCATTATATTATTATTAATTTTAATTTATTCTAAAATTAATTTAATATAATTTAATAAATATCAGTGTATAGTTTAAAATTCCTGATATTTTTTATTTTTCTATAATTATTATATTTGTGTATTTATAACAATGAATTATTTTTTAACCAAGATTTAAATTTTATTACTAGACTTCTAAATGTGTGTTGTTTAATTTTTAAAAAATTATAAAAATTTTATTTTTTTTATTTTAGAATATTTAAATTAATTTATAATGTTTAATTTTATTTTTATTATTTTTATTTTTTTGAAAAAGGGCTTATGGGTCCGGCCCTGAGCCCTTCACATAAGGGCCGGGCTTGAGAAATAGGGTTCAAAATAGGAAACCGAGCTTTAGGGCTCAGGCACTTAAAAGTCGAGCCCACCCGTATTTCCAACTCTAAGCAACTGAGGGTCGGGCCTGCTCATATTTCTAACTTTAAGCAGCAGTTGCTGCCATTGGTTTGGTGCTTGCCATCAAGTGGATTGGTGTTCGCTGTCGGTTGGTGCTCGCCAGAGTGAAGAGTCAAATGGAGGAAGAGGTATAGCGAAGATAAGATGTAAAGGCAGATGAAATTAGGAAAGGTATAGTGAAGAAAAGGTTTTATCATGGAACCCTAAGCTTTGGTGGAATTGAAATTGGAAAAATTTCAAATTCTATCATATCAAACAAACACTTTTCACAATTTCATTTCCATATCCATATCCACCCTTCCCATTTTCATTATACCAAATGGGCCCTTAAACTTTTCCCTTGTTGATTTGCCAGGCCTAGCTGTCTGGCGAGTAACAGAATTATTTTCAAATTATTTCCAAATGATTTACTATAACTACTAAAATCAATTAACATTTCGACAAGGTTAATAGCCAAATCACTGACGTCATGAAGCCACGTCTCATTTTAGTACGCAGAAGGTCAACTCTGCAAATTCTAACATCTGGAGATTAAATAGATCAAATGAATCTTCAGATGGTCATGAAGGTAGCAGCTTCATTTCAACCGAACTATGCCCAACTGTCTTCGTAACCTTTTTATGCTTCATCACTTTCCTAGTCATATTTACCTCTTCCCATCTACCAGCCATGGCGTAAATATTAGATAAAAGAATATGAACTCCACTTTTACCTGGTTCAAGCTCTGTCAGGCGTGCTTTCACTTTGTTAGCAACCGCAACATTTTCATGTATGTGGCAGCCATTTAAAAGAGAACCCCATATGGCAATATTTGGTTCTATTGACATTGTCTCAATTAACCTTTGTACCTCTCTGAAATGACCTGCTCGACTCAAAAGATCAACCACGCAACCATAATGCTCTCTTTCAGGCACTATGCCATAAACCTTTGTCATTGAATTAAAATGCTTTTGAGCCTCTTCAACCAATCCCATGTGGCTACATGCAAATAAAACTCCAATATAAGTTATATGATCAGGGACTAGTGTACTATCCGCTTGCATTCTCTGGAAGATGCTTAATGCTTCATTTCCATAACCATGCAGTGCTAAGCCATTGACCATGCTAGTCCACACCACCACATCTTTCTTTTGCAACCTAATAAAAATATTTTGCGCACTTGATAATTCTCCACTTTTGGCATACATGTTTAGAAGAGCAGTTGCAATGGCAATGTCTGTTGCCATGCTGCATTTCAATAGATATGCATGAACAGATTGTCCCAATGCTAGTGCACACAGATGGGCACAAACGCTCAGGACACTAAGAAAGGTAGCCTTATCTGGACAAAAGCCAGCATTCCACAAATCAAAGAAGAGTTTTAAAGCCTCCCCGTACCTCCCATACTGGTTGTAGCCACTGATCATACTGTTCCAAGCAACAATATTTTTGCGAGGCATTTTATTGAACAAATCTCCTGCAATCCTCAAGCTGCCACACTTGGCATACATTTCGAGTATGGCAGTTGCAAGAATCATATTACCATTAGACATTGGCATAAAGGGATCATAGCCAGCTTTACGAATCCAATCATGGACCTTTCGCCCAGTATCTATGTCTCTACTACGAGCACAAGCAATCAAAACATTCACCATGGTGATTTCATTAGGCTCTACTCTCCAATCATCCATCTCTTTAAACACCTGTATAGCTGTACAAGCGAGATTATTATTAACATAACCAGCAATCAAACAAGTCCAAGCAACCACATTTGACTTGGGGATAATATCAAACACTTTCAACCCTGATTTCATATCTGCACACGACACATACATATGGAGTAAACAAGTTGCTGCATAGGCATCTTCTTCAAACCCAGATTTGACCATGCAGTTATGAACGCTTTTTCCAAAAATTTTATCAGCAATTGCTGAACTTGCTTTGAGTACAAAGGGGAAGGTAAAATGATCAGGTGGATATCCATTTTGTATCATCTGTCTATACAGAAGTATAGACTCTCTTGGATTGGAACTATTAGCATAACCTCTTATCACGGAGTTCCAAATGTAAACACTAGGGACATCAATATGTTGAAACAATAATCCTGCATAATTTATGTCCCCAGACTTAGAATCTATGCAGAAATCAATAAGCTTGCTTAAGGGGATAATACTTTTGATAATTGATGTTGTGACCATCATCCCATGCAACCGTTTCAACTCACTCATATTTTTGCATTTTGCTAACAGAGAAAGAACGGTGTCTTGGGTTATCTTCATCAAGTTTGAAATTGGTCAAAGTCCCACATCTGTGCCCCAATATGAAGGGCTGTTTCTGGACAACAATTAAAGAGAACGGAAGATAGTATAACTTTGCAGTCCCCTCCAAAATAAACCACAACTACCACAGTGGAAACTTAATTATACCAGCACGATTTCCAGCATCTTACAAGCTCACTCACACAATCTCTATCAAGCTCACCAATAGTCTCCATCATCACTCAAAAGCAGCAATGGCATACAAACAGAATTGCACTTTCCACCCCCCCCCCCCCAAAAACCAAAATTGCCACTGAGCAGACAGTCACTGGATACCAAAAAAAAAAAAAATCCTGTCCACAATGATATGGAAATCTAAAGTCAATATCTTTAGCTTCCAGATTGATAAGCCAAGTTATGAGATATAACCCGCAATTCTCAGCATACAATCACCCAGTAAAAGACTCACAATTGAGTAAACTAAATCCTTAGAACAAGAGAGTGCTTCATCTCCAGTCAGCGTAACTACGCAATTTCCCACAGTCATCGAATCTGCATGTAATGGCAGATGACTTCTTCAATTGCTAGGAAAGAGTATTCTAGTGTAATTTTCAATTTTAAATCACTTGCAGGCACCCAAGAGTTCAGTTACTTCATTCACTACAAGAATTAAAGAATTAGGGAATATGCAATAATAATCTGACATAAAAATAAAAACTTGAAATCATGGGAAAATTGAAGTACATCCACAATTACATATATAAATTATTTTTATACTTGATGTCTTAGGCGGACCTATATTGCAATCAATCTCACCGGATTTTGGTAGTAGACAAAGCCCTGGGGTTCGAACTTTCTTCAATACTTGCCCGAGAACAACCACGCAGGGCTGACAACGGCCGACGGCGAGCTCGACCAAGCGTGGGGTGCTTGCTCGTCGACGAAGAAAAGTGGGGTTATGTTGAACCAAAAAAGAGGGTCTAATAAAAAAAATTTAACATATTTTTTTAAAAAATTAAGTAATTTTTTCTTTAAAAAAAATAAAATAAATGTAACTTGACTGAATATTTATCGGGGAAAATTATTGCTGACGACATAAAAATAATATTTATTATAAAATATTATGAAAATTAAAATTGGGCCAAGGAATCAAAATAAATATAATTGGCTATCATACTTTTAATATAAAACCTGTTAATAATACCTTAAAAAATTCAACTAAAAAAAACCCATATTTCATAAGTTTAAAAAAAATCTTTTAAAAATAAGGTTGTGTGGATTTTAATTCACTCAATAAAAACAAAAATATAATATTAAATTTAATTAAATCAATATATATTTTTAAATAATTACGTTTTAATAATTATTTTAAAAAATTGTTAATAATACTTTAAAAATTACAGAAAAAAGCCCTTAAAATTAATGGTATTACATAAGTTTTAAAAAATTCTTTTAAAAATAAAGTTGTGTGGACTTCAATTCCACACAAATAAAAACAAAAGTATAGTATTAAATTTAATCAAATAAAAAGATATAATAATTTTTTTACTTAAAAAAATTAAATAATTGTAACTTGACTGGATATTCATTGAAAATAATTATTGCTAAGGGCATGAAGAAAATAATATTTATTATAAAAGACTATGAAAATTAAAATTAGGTTAAAGGATCAAGTTAAATATAATTGACTATCATAATTTTAATATAAAACTTGTTAATAATACCTTAAAAATTCAACCAAAAAAGCCTTTAAAATTAACAGTACTGCATAAGCTTTTTAAAAAAGTCTTTTAAAAATAAAGCTGTGCAGACTTCAACTCCATACAAATAAAAACAAAAATATAGTATTGAATTTAATGAAATCAATATATTGTTCAGAAAATCATTTTTAATAAATAATTGAACATAATTTTAAAATCGTCCTTAACAATAATTTTCCTTTTATTTATTTATTATGGTTTGGCACAGGTTAATGGAACCCTTCATGATTTCTATTGTAAAAATATATGGGTTAGAGTTTCAATGGTGGGTTAATATATAGTTTGAACTTTAAATTATAGAATTAGGAGTGATTTAAATTTTAAACTCATATTTCATGTATTTTAATCTCTAAACAGTTAAATTTAAAATAATTTTGCCCCATTTTTAAATTAAAACCAACATCTGTTAGCCTAATGTGCAATTTTTTTTTTTTAATAAGAGTAGGAAAGAGAGAGGGAGTGGAATTTTAAAAAAATACACCTTAGACCTTATATGAATGCTTGTTTTAGTTTAATGGTGAGATATAATTGTTTTAAATTTAATTATTTAAGGTTTAAAATATATTAAATATAATTTGAATGTTCATATCACCCCTAAATTTATAATTTAAAGTTTAAATTATATATTAATTCTTTAATTGTTACATTTCTTTTTAACATACTTTTCTTTATTCCCTTTTTTTTGGCTAGTACTTACTTTTTTTATTCAAAAAAAAATTGTATATTTCTTTTCTTTTCTTTTTTTTATACCTGTAGACTTGTTTTCTTTTCAAAAGTCAACAGACAACACACCCATTGTAACACACGGAATATTTTTTATTTTTCTACAGTATTTTCATATATGTATGATCATTAAATATTAAAGTTTATATAAATATAGTATATAATTGAAATATTAAAACTTGTCATTTGTCACTAGCAGGCATTATTTTAAGTAGAATGGGTTATATGTTTAACTATGAGGTCTTAAATTTGAACATGTATGAATGTATAATATATTTTTAAACGAGTTATCTCTACTCACACCTTACAATACTTAAACTTGAGTTGGTCAAATAAAAAAGTCGTCAATTATTATTTACTATCATCTAATCTGTTTATAATATGGCATGTATGAATACATTGAAATGTGTCTTTTAACTTTTATAGTTATTTTATCCTCTCAAGTTAAAGTCAAATATTAAATATAGTATCTACTTAATATAAGTAATGGTATGGATAGTAAGAGAATTTATGAGACAGTATTGTTTCAACCTTATCTCTCGTGTTCAATTGTGAGAAATAGGGGTGAACAAAACCAAATCGAAATCGAAAATCGAACCGAATCGAATCGAATTTTGTCTATTTGATTTGGTCTATTTGATTTTTCGGTTCGATTCAGTTTTTTTATTTTAAATATTTCGGTTGATCGATTCGATTCAGTTAGTAAAATTTAAAATCGAATAGACCGAACCGACCAAATTACATATAATTTATTAATTTATAAATTATATTTAATTTTATAAATTATTTTATTTTAATAACGAATAAAAAATAATAACATCACTTGAAACCACATTTCAATTAGTCACTCTCATTAGTAGGTGTTGTGACTGGATTATGAGGCCATTATTTGATCATCAGTGTTTATTTGTAGTTGTTTATTTGATTATCCATACCTTTATAATATTTGAACTTTATGTTATATGGGTGTAATTAGAATGGGCTCATATTGAAAAAAACGAATAAAAAAAAGGCCCAATCTTGTAGTGTTATTTGTTTTAATATTTAAAAAATGGGCCCAATTTTAATAGTTAAATATGAAATCGAAAAATCGAATTAACCAACCGAACCAAATTATCAAATTTTGGTTCGATCCTTGTTCGGTTCTATTGGCTTATTCAGTTCGATTCGGTTTTCATTTTCAGTGTTATTCGATTAATCAATTCTGCATATTTTGAAATCGAATCGAATCGAACCGACCGATGCTCACCTCTAGTGAGAAATGATGAGAACTTAATTTTTTATCCCATATGTTGTCTCTCTCATTTGAGATCAAGACAAAATAAGAAAATCTCGTTAAAAAACGATCACAGTTAAATTTGAAGAAACAATGGAAAGCCCATGTACATTTTCAATTAATTTTATAATGCATGTAATTTCTATCACCTTAGCCAAAATAAATTATATTTTATAAGTCCAGCGAATGTCATTATTTTCATTTTTCCACGCGTCTGAGTGAAAGGTCATAATATTATGGGAAAACCATAATAAATAATAAATGAGTAGATAATCAGTGCCAAACCATGAAGGATTCCATTAACACATGACGAACCATGATAAATAAATACAGGTGAAAACACTGCGGAGGATGATTTTAAAATTATATTCAATTAATTATTTAAAAAGTAATCATTTTTAAAATATATTGACTTAATTAAATTTATTACATTTGTATCTTTAATAACTGAAATACATTAAGTTTTAAAGTTTTTTTATTTGTAATTGATAATGTTAAATTAACAAATAATATTAATAAAATAATAAATACTATTTAAGAATTAACAATACACTATTATATTATAATATGAAAGTAATTTAAAAACTTAAATTATCACTTACAGTTTTTTATCATATATACTTAAATTAAATGGGTTGGATAGTTTGGTAGCTATCAACTCTTCCAGGTAACAAGGATGTTAAGAATCAAACTTTCTTTAATTATATTTACCAATTATTTTTAAATAAAAATATCATTAGCGCTCCGGCAGTGATAGGTTATGCTAAAGTCTTATGACAATGTGAGTGAATTCTTTTTATTATTTCAAACTTTAAGAAAAAAATTAATTTCCATTAACAACTAAAGAGTTGTAGTGAAATTTCATAATTTTAGTATCTTTGATTGATATAAGCTTCTTACAATGGTCATAGAATGATATTTTCCCTCACATTTATCTGGGTGCTTCAACTTAATTTTATTTTTGAGAAAATTAATCTTTTAGTCCTTTAACTTTTAAATCACTTCTAACTCAATCCCTCAATTATGACTTGCTGTGACTCAATCTTTCAATTATGACTCGCCTATGACTCAATTCCTCAATTTTTGAATCACTTACACATTAGTTCCTTAACTTTTGTTATTTTTTTTTCATGTTAGCTTATATCTCATATCAATGAGCAAAAAGAGGGTATTTTAAAATAATATATGAGCATTTTTTATCTCTCTTATTTGACAAAAAATTTAAAAAAAATAAAAAAAGACCGAGTTATAAGTGAATCAAAAATTGAGGAATTAAGTCGTAGCGAGTTATAGTTGAAGGATTGAATTATAAGTGAGTTAAAAGTTGAAGGATTAAAAAGTTAATTTTTTTTTTTTTTTATGATTTTTTATAATAAATATTAATATTAATTTTTTTTCTTGCCCTTAGCAGTAATTGTCCCTATTTATGGGGAAGAGATAGAGAGCGGGAGGAAAAAGAATGAAGGATGTGAAATAAGGAAACAGAGAGCATGGGTTTGATCCGGGGTGAGGTGGGATCAGATCACAATAAGATGGAAGAGAATGAAGGAAGGAGGAGGGCTTCTGCATCCGCGGATTCGGAGGACTCCACTTGCTGCCCCATCTGCTTGGGACCCATGCTTCAGGATTCCTACCTTGACAAATGTTTTCGTACGCTCCTCGCTTTCCTTTTCTCTCTGTTTCATCTCCTTTCCCCTTTGATTTCTTGGAAGATTGAAGATTGAAATATGAATTACTTACTGACCCCTTCTATTTTATACTTCATCCTAAAGTTTGTAGTTCCTGGGATATTTGACGTTATTGTTAGATTTTAATTTGATAAAATAGAAAGAGATGCTGATAGAGACCTTTGTTGTTGACCAATCGGAGAGCGTGAGGCAGAAGCAGAGTATTTATTCATCAAGAGTCTGTCTTTTCATAGAGCTTCCCTGTGAAGTTGGGTGGGGAAAAAACTTTAACTTGGGGCTTTCAGAATCCCACGACTTCTGCGAGTTATGAGGAGCGCAGTGTACAAGCATATCTAAATATTTGTGTAGACTTGGGATAGTCAGTTGTTATGCGAGATGTGTTGCCTGTTTAGTCTGGCTAGCTTTGCCCTACTTCTGACATGCTGTTCAAGATTTAGATCATGTTGCTTTGTGGTCTGATAATTTAGTGTTTGTTACGTCGGAAAATCTGTTTGGATCCAGGAAACTGGATGGAATTGTTCTTATTCACAATAGCTATGTGATGCAGACAAGTTTTGCTTCAAATGCATTTCACGCTGGACCAAGGTGGTTGCTGGCAAGTACCATTCCCCACCTTCTTCTGTAAAATGTCCCCTTTGCAAGGTTTGTCTTAGTCCATTACATTTCAACTTCTGGAACTCAGTGGTCCATATTTTAATTTTCTTTAGCAATTGACGTAGCAAAGTAGATATCTCTTCTGTCTTGATCCCCTGATCCGAGACAAGATTACAGCAATAGATGATAGTTTGAACGTGCCTCTGACTTTGTAGTTGATGTTTGAAATGCAGACAGAAAATTTTTCGATAATTTACGGATTTGATGAAAGTTGTTTTCAGCGGCAATATGTAAATGAGGATTTTGGGGATAGGTCTGTCAGTCGGTCTCTGTCAGTTGTCTTTGCTGAAATTACTAGTTGAAATACTTTATATATTTTACCCTCTGAATTATCTGTGCAGTTTTACCTTATCAAGAGCGCAGAGATATAGATTACAATGCTATTACACTGAACCAGGTCCATTACTGCTTGTTACTAGTCTCAGTGTTTCCTGCTTCATAGTCAGTTGCAGCCTTATGCTTAATTATCAGTGTGGTTAGGTATCTTAGACGACATATTCAATATATCACGGTATTGGAAGTCGCATAAGTACCATCAGCCAAATTGTTGGATTCAGACTTGGCTCAGAAGGGAAATTCAAGCGCTTATCCAGGTCAGCAAGTTCATCAGTTTGGTTGCTTTTCGCATTGTCTCCGCCCCCTCCCCAACTCCGAGATAATTCCACCGTTCATTTTTTTCCTGCATGTGGAAATTTATTACAGTATATGGATACACGTTCTGCAAATTTGAGTTTCGCTCATTATAAATGAATGACTATTTGCGGCATTTCTTACTTTCACCATCAACTTGTACCTCCTTTTGCTTACTCGATAGGAGGAAGGCGTTGACGTCATTGTGCACCATATAATGGGAGTAATGAGTGCATCACTGTCATGGTAAGAATTTTTGTGCATCTGAAGATTGGAATGACATGAGCTTAGTGTGGAAAGTTGACGATAATTACTATCCAGGAGAGAGCAAAATCGTCGCATTATGGCATCTGAAAAGCAGCAGGAGGAGTTCAAGATCGCAGTTTCAGAAGCAGCAATGCCCTTTTTAGCTTCAAGGACCGACAGATTTGTTTACGAGGTCCAACTGTTTCTTGCTTCAGGATTGAATATTGAAGCTTATGATGCAGTTTACATACAACGACTGGGTTGGAGTTCGACCGGGACAAGCACACAGGCGTCTCAGAGTGAACTTATTGATCGCAATACGGTGACTTCATACTTGTATATATTTGATGCAGACTCTGATGGAAATGAATAGATACTTTTGTCTTCTTTTATCTTGAATTCTTTTTGTAGTTGTAGTAGCCCGTATATTGTTTCAAGTAGTTTAAAATTTTTTTCCTTATAGCCAGTGTCCTATTGAATATCCGACAGCAAGAGCCTGACTCTTCAAGACTTTTACTAGCTAGCAAGAGTCATCTTGATTATTTCAGTGTATCAGAAACGAACGCCAACCATTAAAAATTTAAAATAATGACAAAAGTTTAAAATAAGGAAGAGATGTAGATGGCTCGGTCTGGAATTATCAATATGCTGTTTGTGGAGGGGTCATTAGAGACATCAAGGGAAATTGGCTGATGGGCTTTCATAAGAACCTTGGAGCTTGCTCAATTAGTGACGTGGAGATATTGGCTATCAAAGTCGGGATAGTGCTCTGCCAACATCTCAATCTTGGTGAAATCTCCATGAATCCATCTGCTCTGATTCCATTGAGGCCATTAAGACAGGACAATACCTTAGATCACCATTTGAGAGATGATATCGCTTGTATTAGGGACCGTTTGTTTAACATGCATGATGTGAAATTATACCATTCTCACAGAGACATCATATGATGCACGGACTTTATGGGAAGACAAGACCATAGTGGCCCTCTACCATGACTCTGGTACCGCATGTACTTGCGGATTGTTTATCCATGTACCTTGAAGAAAAGAATCATCTTTAGGTTATTCATGTTTATTTTTCTTTTTCAAGCCTAGCTTGCCGTTTGTACCCTTAAAAAGAAAAGTTCCTGGAGAGCAAGAAAAGCTTTTACCACCTTATTGGATGGATATCCAATAGTAAGTCGTTGACAAACATTATCATACCCTCATGGTTTTTTGAATTATTTTTTTAAAACTTTTTAGCCATATTTAGTTGGTTATTTATTTCAACGAGAACCTGAATTGAAAAAATATACATAATAAAAATTTTAAGAAAAACTTGGGTTAAATTATGAAATTGGGTCTTTTGCTGGCATTAACTGCAAATTGCTAAATGACATAAATGTAGGGTGTAAGGGAAAAAAAAGAAAAGAAGCAAAAGTGGAGTAAGGTCCTTCGTTATTAATATGTCACAAGGTTCTTCATTGTCAATAATTTTATATTAATACTAAATACAAGATTATTCAATGTTAATTTGTCAAACAAGGTCTTTACATGGCAATTTATTGAGCTTCAAAGCATGTTTGAAACATGTACAATGTTTTTTTTATGTATTTGAATATCACTTTTGTATATTTGAGGTTCATATAATTTCATTGGGTTTTGCTTTTAATTATTATAGTTTTTTTAGTATTTTCAGTCCCTACAAGGACTAAAACCATTGAAAAATAAAAACTATAGGGATATGAAAAACAAATGTCACCCAATTTTTTTGAAATTATAGAGACTGAAAAAATTATAAGAACTAAAAACAAAACCTAATGAAACTATTGAACAAAAGATTGTGTTTTACCTATTTGAATAAATGAAAGAAAAATTATATTTTCTTAAAGGGTGGTTGCATATCATGAAAGAAAAGTTGCATATGCAATATTTTCTTTCATATATTAGAATATCACTTTTGTATATTCAAATAAATGAAAGAAAAATAATATTTTCTTAAAGGGTAATTGCATATCTTGAAAGAAGAGTCGCATATACGATGTTTCTTCAATTTATTCGAATATCACTTCTGCATATTTGAATAAATACAAGAAAAATTACATTTCCTTAAAGGGTAGTTACATATTATGAAAAAATAGTCACATATGCGATATTTCTTTCATAAATTTAAATATCATTTTTGTATATTCGAATTAATGAAAGAAAAATTTTATTTCCTTAAAGGTTATAGTATATCATGAAAGAAGAATTGCATATAATTGAAAATACCTCCGTATAGTTCTAAAACACGACAAGAAGTATAAAATTTTCAAAATATCTAAATAGCTATTCAAATAAATAAAAGAAAAATTATATTTTCTTAAAGGATGATTGCATATCATTAAAGAAAAGTCATATATGGTTAAAGATGTTTGCATATGGTCATAAAACATGAACTAAATGTAAAATTTTTAGAATATTTAAAATGATTATTCAAATAAATGGAAAAAAATTGCATTTTTAAGATATTTAAGACCAAAATGCATATTCAAATATGACTTAGAACTTGGGGTTTGAATATTGCACTAATACTTTGTTTTCAAAATATTACAAATGCATATTCTAAAATTTTTTTCCTTTTTTCATGAAAACACTAAAGGATATTTTAAAAACACAAATAGTTATTTTAAAATTTTATTCATTTTTCATGAAAACACTAAAGGATATTCTTAAAAAGGAAAATGAATATTATGAACATTTTCTCATTTTTCATGCAAACATAGAAGGATATTCTGAAAACGTATATGATTATTTTGAAAATTTATTCATTTTTCGTGAAAATATTCATGGATATTATAAAAATGCAAATTGAAATTTTGACAATCTTCTCATTTTTTATGAAAACACTAAATTATATTCTTAATGGTCACTATTGTTATGTGTAAAACTTAATCACAACAACTTAAAGCATAAAGAACAATAATTGAACATTAACAAATCAATTTATCACTAACCAATGACATATTTTTACATACCTTGATAACATAAACTACATTACATTATAACACAAAAATCCTAAGTTATGTAATGGTATGGATATTTATAAAATGATACATATGTTAGCACAAGAATCCTAATTTATTTTTCCTCATTGACTACTTTCCTTGGTGAAATACATGCTAGCACCTTCTCCCAATTTTTATTCTTCCCATGTTATGTATTGAATGGTTGCCCTTCTTAATGATTTGCTTATTGCAAAAAATAACACAACTTATTTAATATAATCCAAATTATTCTATCAACTGCACTTACTAAAGAAAATTCAAGATTTTCAAACTACAAGAAAAGATAGTATTTGGAAACATGTACAGGAATAAATAACAAGCATAGAACTTGAATGTCACAACATTCATATTACATCAGTGGTTTAGAGCTCTCCATATTATTTCTGTGATATCATGCCTTGGTGGATCAAAGAAAGGCACAAAATTTAAAAGCAAAATGTCATGTCTAGTTGCGTGTGCTCAATTACTTTAACATTATAATATGCAAAAATCACAAAAACAAACTATTTTCAACATTAAAAAAGTTTAATATCCAACTAGCTTGGAGAAACTTACATATCCACATTATAATATGCATTTTTAAATTGCTCACATGCTTACAAAGCAAAGAGTTTGCAAGGCTATTGTTTTCTAGATATTCATAGACCAATATGTGATGGTTATCCTCTATATAGTAGCCAACTAATTGGACAAGATTTGGATGTTTTATGCTTGAGATCATGTCAATCTTTGTCATAAATTCTCTTGTCCCTTGTTTAGACTTTAAAAGAAGAGTTCCATCTCTTAAGGCTCCTTGCATATATTAATGACCAAGCAAATGAGAAATTTATCAAAAATAAAAGGAAAAATTGAAGAGAGAGAAATGTAAAACCCATTAAAAGCTAACAAATAATAGAAGGCATAAGCACAATTAGAATTTAAAAACTTTGAGATTGAATCATTGAAGCAACATTTGAAACAAAAGGAATTTGAAATCTCCATATTGAATAGAAGGCAGAAACATTAGCTTAAATATTGAAAATATCTAGGTTTAAATAAGTCTTTGGCCAATCGATCTACTCAAAGGCATAAATGAAGATGACATGCTAAGTAATTTCATTTGTAGTGAATAAGGTTGGTGTTATAGAAATTTTCAATTTCAATAGTAGCTTCATGACATAAATGACAATTATGTTTCATACCTTAACCCTACCCCATACTCCAAATCACCAATAACAACTCAAAGAAATAATATTAGCAAAATGGAAAAATATTAGCTGGCGACTGATTGAAGCAAAGAATTGCTCTTCCTCCCAAACTTGAGCATCCACTAGCGGCCCAACTTAATTGAAGAATTGAAATAGGTCTCGAGATTGAAGATGAAAGGTTAAAAAAAAGTCGTGAAGCTAGGACTTGCAGATAAACATGAGGCTTCATTAATGAAAAGGTCAAAGTCAAGGTATGTAAAACCGGACTAGTCATTGAACCGGTCATGGCACTGAGTCATGGGTTAGTGGTTCAATTAAGGTTGAACCGGTGGCAAACCGGTCATGATTAAAATAATATAATTTAAATAAAAAGACATTAATTATAAAAACATTCAACCAAATCCAACCATTCAAAAGTCTAATAGTAATAAAATACAACACTTTAAATATTTATCATTATAATTACAACTCTTTAATATCAAAAGTCTAGAGAAGAGATGGAGATAGAGTTGGAGAAGAGACGGAGATTGAGTTGGAAAAGAGACGGAGAGTCAGAGACTAAGCTAGAGAAGAGATGGAGATAACAGAGACAGAGATAGAGCTAGAGAAGAGACGGAGATAGAGCTGGATTCTGGAGTAGAGACGCTGATTAGGTTAGGGCGAGAGAGGAGAGATACAGATGAAAGGTCGAACTAAATACTATTTGAAAATTTGAATTGGACTTAGCGTGCTCTACCTCTAATTTCTCATTTTTTGACTTTAGTTTCACTTTTTTTTTAATCTTATTTTTGAATTCAGCACTTTAAAAAATCAAAAATAAAAAAAATTTTCCAAAAAAAATAACCCAGTTGACCCAGTCAACCCACCGGGTTCACTGGGTTGAACTCAGGTTGATCGGGTTACACCGGTTCATTCTCTCACCGGTTTAGGAGTAAACCCAGACCGGACAAGGGATCGGGTCATCGATTTTCAGGTTGACCTGGCAGATCCGGTCTGGATTTCAATATTATGATCAAAGTCGTTGCTAGCTTAACTCACGATAGGTGTCGGAGTAAAGGAGAGGATGAACATTTTGATCATCTGAAGCTTCAAACTTTTGCCACTGAAGGATCTCATTTCAAAAAACTTTTGCCACTGATAATATTTGTGGTCAGGTCTTTTTCAGTGATTTTTCCAAATTCTTTTTTCTTATTTTTTAAATTATCTACTCAGACTTCTCCAACTTCTCTGGGTGGGAGACAACCGGTACAAGTTTTCATTTTGTAATGTATTTTATTTCATTTTACTTTAATATAATTGTCTTTTTATATTAAAAAAAAAAACAACAGGGAAAGGGGGTGTTTAGTAAGACGTTCCTGGCTCGCCCATCGTAGGATCGATGAGCGAAACTCTGGTCTGGAGTTTCAGTTTGAGAGTTAAGACTTAAGAGGCGGAGAAGGACCTCCGCTTTCTTATCCATTGGTTACCATCATCTCCCTCTGCTGAAGAAGAGCGTAAAATTCAACGCTACAACAGACATGGCAACCGTCTCAGACTACGGAGCTTTCATGGAGAAATTCATTCTTCTACCAAGTTCTTCATCCCATGATCTTCCGTTAAGTTCTCTTACTTTTGCGGTCAAAGAACTGTAAGATCTGTCACCCTATTTTGATTAAATATTCAAATTATTAAACTTCATTTTTGCTGAGTTCAAAGTTGTTTCAAGCACTGTATGATTTAAACCCATGCTCCTCGACGGACGATTTTAAGTGAGTCATTTGTTACATTAGCTCTTTCTTGAAATTTCACTTCTGAAACAGGTTTGATGTGGAGGGTTATGTGACTGGATTTGGGAATCCTGACTGGGCGAGAACTCATTCGGTGGCGACATCCACTGCTCCGGCTATATTAGCTCTCCTAAATGCAGGTGCCACTTGTGTCGGAGAAACTGTCATGGACGAAATGGCTTACAGGTTTCACTTTCCACTCACATATTCCTATTAACTATGCTTTCTATTTGTAAGAACTGTGCTCTAATTTCTAGTGAGCATTTCTTTTCCAGCGATCTATCATGATGGCCGTTAGTTTCTAAAAGCCTGTAATTCTAACAATTTCGAATGTCGAAAGTTATGCAACTAAATTAAGATTTCTGATTATGAAAGTTCTGTGAAGAAACTGGTCATGTGAGTAACTGTATCTTTGCTGATCAGGCCTGTGAGTTTCCAGAACATCTGTTGAATCAGATAGCTGAGTGTTTTTATTTGGCAGTATAAACGGAGAGAATATACACTATGGGACACCTAGGAATCCGTGTGCGGCGGATAGGGTGCCTGGGGGTTCTTCTAGCGGCTCTGCTGTTGCAGTCGGGGCAAAACTTGTAGATTTCTCCCTAGGTAAGTCATAGCTATTCTTCATTGCATAATTTCTGGTATCACTTGGCTCATTATTTGAACCATAACATTCTTTGTACTGTAGGAACCGACACCGGAGGAAGTGTAAGAGTGCCTGCTTCGTATTGTGGGATTTTTGGGTTTCGTCCTTCTCATGGAACTGTTTCAACATCAGGAGTTATTCCCATGGCACAAAGTTTTGACACTGTGGGTAAGGAACCGCAAATTTGGTAGCTTTCTTAAATATTTAGTTATTTACATTATAGTGAACGCAATACGGAAACTGGTAAATTTTGAAGGCTGATGGTAATAGAACAGATGAGTGACTCGGGTGATTAGTTTGGGGAACACGTAACAGAGTTATTTTTTGGTTTCTTCAATATGCATGTTTCTGAATGGTTTTAATTTCCGTCTTTCATTCATGTATTTCTGCAGAATCAAATAGGGGTACTTTTTGCTCTAGAAATCTTGAAAAATAAATTTGATCTTGAACAACAAGAAGTAGTGGGTTTATCTTTCTCTTTAAAATCATTGGTCTGAATTTTTTGTCGGCTCATTTCTTATCCTTAGTTGGATGGTGAGCATGCATTGTCTTATGAAAGTAGCTTCACAAGTTGTTGAGCTCTTTCTTTTCTTGGAGTGTCATTCTTTTCTTTCCAACTTCTCATCCAGGATGGTTTGCTAGGGATCCTGTGATTTTGAGCAGAGTCGGACGTGTGCTTCTGCAATGGCCTGAAGTCGCACCTGTCAGACCCACTCGCATTATTATCGCAGACGATTGTTTTCAGCTGTCAAGCACTCCACACAATCTAGTTATGCAAATTCTCATCAAAGTGGTTGAGAAGTTATATGGAGGTGAACATATAAATTAATTGTTGACGATTTGCTATATAGGTATAAATACACATACATACATTGGAAGGCAGGGTCATTACATCAGCATTTATGTGCCCTGTTGTGGTATCATCTTGAAAATGATGTTAGTCTTGTATCTGAGTGAAGTGTTTTTTCTTGTTTCCCCAATGTAGGTCATGTATTGAAGCATGAAGTCTTGGGCGACTATGTAAAGGTCAGGGTACCAACTCTAAGGCACTTCATGAGTAATAGTCAATCAGATCAAGTTTATAACATTCCATCTCTGGCAGCTCTTTCAAGTGCCATGCGATTACTTCAGAGGTGTAGTGCTTCTGTTAATCCTTGGTCTCATCTATGTGGTGCCTCTCTTGTGTATTGTGGACTGCCTTAAATTGAATTCCGTTTTCTACTTTTCTTGCTTTACACCGTTTCACACATAGGTACGAATTCAAGAATAACCATGGCGAATGGGTTAGCACAGTGAAACCTGACTTGGGTCCAGGAATATCAGAACGTGTATCAGAAGCCCTGAGGACAACGGGGGAAAATATTGATCTCTGTCGGTCAGTAAAAGAGGAACTGCGTGGTGCTCTTTCTGCTCTTCTTGGGGTACTCTTTCTCTGGCATATATATATGTATATATTTATGATATCTGCGTGATGTGAGTGTTGAGAGAATTTGTTCTGTTGAGCAGCTCCTTAAATGGTTGTTAGATGCTTTGTTTCTTTTATTTGTTCATTTTCTGCTTGCTTAGTTGCCAAATTCCGTGTGTAGCTGGTCGTCTGTCAGGCTTGTAAGATTAATGTCTTGTCACAAACTATTAAGAAGTTACCTTGTTTGCATTTATTTTGAACTAGTGGTGTAAAAATAAGCTGAGACGCTTGTAATCATCACATTTGGATTTCTGATGGACGGGCCTTTGGGGAGAATCACAAACATCCACGTTATTTTCATGAAGAATGACTTTTTGTCTCTTCGAAAAATTCAGGATTTCGGTGTGCTTGTATTTCCTACGGTTCCAGGGCCACCGCCAAAACTGAAAACAAATACGCCTGATCTGGAAATTTTTCGCGCAAACGCTTTTGCCCTGTTATCCATTGCTGGAGTATCCGGATTTTGCCAGGTTTGGTATAACTCTAGGATTTTTCTTTTTCCAATTAAACTTGCGTAATTGCTGTGCTTGTATTTTGCTACGGTTGCAGGTTAACATACCTCTGGGGATACATGACGACCTTCCCGTATCGGTTTCTCTAGTGGCTACGCACGGTGCTGATGGGTTCTTGCTCAATCTTGTTGAGTGTCTTTATGACCTCCTTAAGCAAGAGATAACACCATCTTCCCAATGAAAGGCTTGTTTTGATAGGTCGCATATATAACATCTCATGGTGAATATTTGCAGCGTCTGTATTTGGCATTATATCTTGTTATATATACTTATATATGGATTTTATATTTGACATAGGAATCGGCAACTTTATGAAAATCATCCCGATCTATTGTTGCATATTGCAAATAGTTTCCAGGAGAATCCGCCTTCCAGCCAAACATTAGGGGGGAAAAACTATACGTGTGTTTAATGGTGAAATACAACTAACTCCCTTATTTATTAGTATGCATTTATCTTTTTGAATACGGATGTCTAATATTTATTCGATTGTTCCATGCCAATGGGTATTTATATGGATAAGGTGTCTACCCAGCATTTAATATTGGGTTAATATGTAATTTTAATTTTGAACTATAAGACAAGAAGTGATTTAAATTTTATACTTGTAATTGGTATATTTTGGACGTTGAACAATCAAATTTAGGGCGTCCATGCCTCCATCATTAATTTGGTGCTAACATCCATTGATAAAATCATCACCACATGGCTTCTATTAAGGGTTAAATGGCAATTTAAATTTTAAATTATAGGTGCAGAAATAAGTTGAATCTTAAACTCCTTTTTTGTACATTTTAAATTTTAAACAATTAAATTTAATTTAACCTCAGTTACTAAAATGATACAAATATTCATGACTTTAAGTAGGGATCCATATAGGTGGTATTGGATTTTTTTTCCCTCTCTGTGTCTCTACTTTTTTACATTTTCAGGTGGCATCTCCCTCCTCTCTCTTTTTATGAGACCTTTTTGCAAAAAATTTTGCCCACCCTTCTATAGAAATCCCCCCCCAATAACCTTATGGACGAATCCTTAGACAACCATCCCAATCCATACTCTTTTGAATACTTTCAAATGTACAGGTTTAGGGTCTACTAGTGTTGTCGTCGTTGGAGAACAAACTCATGCTCATCTAGTGCGAGCCAAACATCATTGCTTTGATCACGATCAATCGACTTAGTTCTTTAAACTCATTGCTCGATGATGGTTGACTTGTTCGAAGCATTCAAGAGATTGCACGAGGATGATTTGGTGTGAGTAATCATGTTGATTGGTTTGGATTGAGCGTTTTGTTCAAGTGTAGATCTACTTAAGATAGAAGATGTTTTCAAGTATGACGTTAGAAAGTTTGCTATGATGACTGGATTTGAGATTGCATTGGCTTGTGACATTTTGACTGCTTTAGAAGGAACCAAGTTCATAGATACCTATGCAAGGTTCATTTATAATTTATTTTCTTTTAATTCAATAAATTAGAGATTGATTTCTAATATAGGTGATTTGGATTCATATGCATTTGTTTTGATTTTAATTTGATTTGTTATGGAGTCCAATTAATAGTTAAAAATCATATATATACACTTTCAACCAATTTTATGAATTTCATGATTTACCACTCGCTATCAACAAAGAGTAAGGGAAGAAGCAGGACAAAAGCAGAAATGGTGTCAAAAATAATAATAAAAAAAGCATGTACCCTACTATGTTTAAAGCAAACAAATGTTAATTCTAAATCAATGATGGGGTGAGATTGCTCCAAATTTAATTATTGAGAATTCAAACGGTATTAAATATGAGTTTAAGGTTGAAATCATCTCTAGACCTATAATTTAACATTTACATTGTCATTAAATCCTTTTATTAATAGATGTTATGACCAAATTAACAGTGGGAGACGAGAATGTTCCAAGTTTGATTGTTTATAATTCAAAATGTACCAATTACAAGTATAGGGTTCAAATTATTTCTAAACCTATAATACAAGGTTCAAATTGCATATTGACTTCTGAATATTTGTATATTATACTCCTTTTATCCTAAATTATGAGACATTTTTAAATAAAATTTTATGCACCAATGAACCTCATTAAGTATGGTTAATAAACTTATTTTTTTAAAGCAAAAATATGAACTTTTAAAAATACCCTTTATTCAATAACTTAAATACACTTAACTATTAAATAATACAAAAAGGGGGTAATATTGAAATAAATTTATTTAATGAAACATTAATCTTTTTAGAGTGTCTTATATATTAGAATGTTGAATCTACCTTAAAAGTGTCTTATAATTTAAAATAAAGAGAATATATAATAACTAGTAAGTTTTTTAATGACAAATAAAATTATAATTATATACAAGTACAAATTTGATTTACTGCCTATTTATTTGTTAGTTTTTTTTAATTTATTGTTAAAGATAACTATTTGCACAAGTTTTGGAAACTTAAAACATGTTATAATTTTTATCTTTTGGTAAATAAGCATTAGGAAGTCAAATTGTACATTTTTGTTAAAAATATCAAGTTTGAAATTTTGTAGGTGTAATTAGATTTTAGTTTAATTGTCTAGGTTGAGGACACGAAATCCTCGGATTAGGATCCTCTTATCATTATTTTTCTTCTTTTTTTCTCCTTATTTCATCTTTATCCTTGGATTAAAAATTAAATGGTTGAGATTTAATTAAATTCATTTATTTATTTTAATTATAGTTCAATTTTAATAGTTTATATTTATTTATTTGTTTTAATTCTAATAATTATATAAAATATCTATATATATATATATAAGTATAACCGCAAGCCACCTTATAAGCTCGACACATATGCATTTTTAAGAATGATGCAATTCTAAATTATTTTCTATAAATAATTTTTTCTAATAATAACAATAATACCTTTAAAACTGTTAGAAACTACTTTTTCTTATCTCGAAATTTTTTTCTCTTACCATCTCATCCATTTTCATATTGGATGTATTAAGCCTCAGATTCTTGTATTTCTTCATTGACACTGCTTGGACCAGTGCTATCACGAATCATTGTTGACAAAGTAATTTCTGAACGGGAGTCAAGCGAGTTTCCATGTTTCTTGACCAGAATTGGCTGCAAAGGTGTTGAAATTTGCTTTGCGGCTTCATCTTGAATTTTTGTTTTCCAAATTTTCGAGGATGACATCATGAACTTGTATATATCTTCAATAAATTACGTGCTTCTCTTTACCGTCTTCTGCATGAAACTGTAAGGAGTACTTCCTTTTCGACTCAATACTGAGTATAGCCATCTCTCTGGATGGATTTTGTCAAGAGCAAACAGATTTTAACTTGGGTGTAATGTACAAATCAGTGATGAATTACATGCACCTATCGCTAATTCTAGCTCCACCATTTCACAGGGGACCAGAAGCCTACTGTAGTACTGTAGCAAACTATACAGCATTAAACGCTGCTAGATAGGAGTGCCATTCTTTCTCCAGGCAAGAATTGGATAGAAGATCAAGGAGTTGCTCAAAGAGATCAGAATTGTCGGTAAAGGCCACTATCTCCAGAACCTTAAGACCCTTAATTTTTACCATGTTGTAAATGCTTGGGAGCAGTTTATAAGATCAAGGAGTGAGTTAGACATATCAGAATCGCCAACAAAAACCTCATAACCGAGTACCTTGAGACCAAATCTTATACTTTTTAATGTTACCAAGTGACTTGTTACTGCTTTGGAGACAGTTTACATCTTGCCATGAATTCAAGCACTCTTGAATGTATAGATGCTACTTGGCAAACATCTCCATTATTGCAGTTTTATCCACCGAGTGAAGAAGCTAGTACAATACCAATCCGGACTTCTGCAACAGGGATCTTAATCTTTATTCCCATTGATCTTTGTTGCACACACAGGTACTCTCTCTCTCTCTCTCTCTCTCTCACCCACACACAAACATAGATAGTTATTCTCTTGCGTTTCTATGCAGACAAAAATGTTTAATTTCTTGAACTTCATTCACAGATGAGCTGGGTTACAAACTCATTTTCCTTGCTGAACAAAACAGGTTTTTATGTAGACCAGAGACCGATCAATCTTTCAGAGGCTGTCAGCCTGTCACTTATCCTTCAGCCATTTTCAATAGTTCCACCTGCAGAAAAAGTCCTGTGTGTTAGAAAACCCAGATAAAGTACAGCCACAGTGAAACTGTGAAGGACTAGAAGTGTATTACCAATGGGGTGAAGGACTTGGCCGGTAATGTAAGACGAGCAGTGATTGCAATTTACAATAGGTGGGGGCAACCTCGATAGGTTGGCCAGCTCTCTTCATTGGCACCTCAGCACCAAATTGAGCTACTTCCTCCTCCGTGAAGGAAGCAGGTATCAAGGGAGTCCAAATGGGTCCTGGGGCAACCCCGTTCGCTGACTCTTATTCCCTTGCTCACCAATTGAAGCGACAGACCCCCCGTAAATGCCACGAGCGCACCCTTTATGGCTGTGTAGTCCAGTAATTTAGCATGGCCTCTGTTATGCATTCGCTGATGTGGTGTTGATGATGCTGCTTCCTCCCTTCACGTGCTTCAGGGCATGCCTATGTGAGTGAAACTAATTGGTTTATATATTCTCTTCAGAAATTCTAAATCAAATCAGATCATTTATTTATTGTTTCTTTATTCTCACCTGGTCATGAAGAAATGGGAGAAGATATTAGTTCTGAACACTCTCTCAAGCCTTTTCTTGTCAATCTCCTCCACAGATCCAGCCTCGTACTGCTCAGCTGCATTATTGATCAGAATGTCAATGCGGCCAAACGCTTTGACGACCTCGTCCACTACTTTCTTGCAGTTTCCATCAAAGCCCAAGTCAGCCGTATGGCCATGGGCTCCTTGGCATCCGCAGTTTTTGCCTTCTTGATCATTTCAACCGTGTCCTTCGCATCCTTGTCTTCATGTCCCTTCACATATGTGAAGGCCAGAGTGGCACCTTCCAAGGCAAACAAATTGCATACGGCTCGCCCAACCCCCGAGTCGCCTCCAGTAATTAGGGAACGGATTTGGGTGCTCATCACAGTGATGTGGTGAGATCGGAATGGTTCAGATATCAAACATTATTATATATTCTATTTATTAAAATAAAAATATATAAAAATTATAAAATAATTTTAATAAATTTTTTATTTTTAACGTTAAAAATAAAAAAATTAAAATTATTTTTAATTTTTATTAATTAAAAATATATAATAATCTTTTAAATCTAAATCATTTATATCAAAATTTAGATGGTATAGATGTGTGGTGCCCATCACTGTGAGGAGCACCCAAACCAGACTCGGTAATCAGTGCCACCTTCCCCTAAAGCACACGAACAACGAGCAAGTTAGTATCATCTCCTAGAAATTGAGAAAAAGATCAAAATTATGAATACACAAGAACTCTTCATGTATACTACCTCCATTTCTATTTGTAAAAAAAAAAATATTTCTTTTTACTCATTTTTTTATACAAGCAAATTACCAATTTCAATAAGTATTTGTTATATATTTTTTAAATCACTCTTTTGTAATTTACATTAATGAAAAATAATTAATGCTTGATTAACATAGAATATTTTAATTTTAATTTTTTATTTTTAGATATAATTATTATAATTAACTAATCTTTTTAATTATATATATAATTTTTTTTCTGAGAGTATACTTGAAGTTTATTTGACGGCTTGTAATCAGGGCTGATGAATTCAGGTGTCGGGTTCATGGCATGCTCTTTCCCGGGAAGTTCTTCTTGTTTCTGTTGGGGGGGGGGTGGGTTGTTGATCGCCGGAAGGTTTTGTAAACAGACAGACAGGGATTCTCCGGAGTTCTGGGAGCGTGATTTAAAGGATGGGCTTCGGCTAGTTGTAGATCTGGAACAAGCGATGAGGCAATCTCGGGTGGCTGCACGTGTGATTGTGATGGCACCGTGACGAGTTTATATGGAGAATTTGATTATGCCACGCGCCGACCAATGGCCGAAGGAGTTCTTTACGTGTCGTGTTAATCGCATGCATTGGACACGTCTGGAGACCATGAGTTGGTTTGAACTGTGTAGCAGAAATGCATTTGCCTTTGTTCAAAAGAAAAAGGAAAAAAAAAAAAGGAAGAGCAGTGATTCAATTCATTTTGCAAGACCCAGAAAATTCAGATTATTTTGAATTGGTTTGAATCAGTTGCTCCAAATTTGATACAGTAGATTTAATGAGTTGAATTGTTGGACTTTATGTGACATGTTTTTCATCTTATATATTAATCATGGATGGATACGAACAAAAAATGAAATGTTGTTTTGTCATTATAGGTTAAATTAGACAAGGTATGTGTCCTGATTTTTATCAAAATCAATTAAAAATTCATTTAAAAAATTGGAATGATGGTCCGAATGGTTTGCATGGTAGCCACGTGGAAGGCAAGGCAATTGATACCTGTCACTACATAGGCACCAATTTCCCCATGCGTATTCCAAGATCCAATCCCATTGTGGAAACGCAGCGTGATCCGGGACTCAAACCCACCATGGTCTCCTTCCTTCTTGCCCCTCTTCTTGCCTTCCTCTTGCTTTTCACTCCGGCGCACTGTAAAGGTACTCAGTTCTCACCCGCTCCCTCGCATCCACACGGCATCGCATGAATTTCTTATACATATATTTATCCAATCCAAGCTAGCATTCCTGAAACGTCTCAACTATAGTATACTACTTATATATTTGGGCGCATGCAGATGAGAAGGAGAGTGTATTGAAGGGCATCAACAGCTACAGGCAGAGTCAGAACCTGGCGGTGCTGGCGGAAGCGGACAGGGCGTCATGCCTGGCGAACGAAATAGCAGATGAGCTGGAGGACGTCCCCTGTGAAAACGTGGAGCTGTACTATCCAACTGCTTCGGGGATCCAGAAGTTCCCAAACTTTGAGAAGCACGTTGATAAATGTGGCCTTGACATCAACAGTACCAGGGAGGGGGTGATTCTGCCTGCCTGTGTCGCCAAGCTCGAACCCACCATCCTTCTCTCTAACTACACTCACAATGATCGCTACGCCTCTTATCTCAACAACTCACTATACACCGGCGTCGGACTTGGTTCCGAGGGTGACTGGATGGTTCTCGTTCTCACCACCAACACCCCCACTGGATCTTTCTCCGCCGCTCCTCCTCCTAATTTCGTGATGCCCTTCTTCATCCCTGCTTTGCTCTTGCTTCTTCTCATGCCCATGCGTTAGCTATTTTGTTGCCTTGTATGCTCATTTCCCTTGACTTTAGTTTATTATTCCCACCTTCTCTGTGTTCCTTGTAAATGTGGTTCTGCACTGTGGAATGGATTTGCAAGCCTTTTTATGCTACTCTATATCAAGGGATTTGGATTTGGTGACATGCACACGTCCCCGCTCGCAAGTATAGAACTCCAAATGAAAGTAAATCACAAGTCCAGATTTGTATCTGATTCTTATCTAGCAAGGGACATTCACAACCGGAGGCAAAATCTGAACCTTATTACGCACTGGCAACCCTCGTCCGTAAAGAGAAGAGAGGGGGGATCATGCCTCGGCCACCCAATTTTATATCTCACTTTAATTAATTCATTAATTAAAACAAGATCTATATATAAACTTGGTGCATCATCTTTAATGGCCTCAAAATTACTCCCATGATTAAATGCAACTGGTCTACATTTAATGACAATTTCTGGTCCAAATACACAGTTTCAGATAGATAAAAGGAAATTCAGAGCTACAGGATAATAGAAATAGGAAATATAAGAGGGCAGCCATATTACTGATGGTCTGTTTGGATTTGGGTTAAATTGATTAACATGGTTGATTTTAATTATAATTGATTAGTTATAATATGATTATGTTTGGATTTTTTTTTTCTGAAAGTTACTTTGATGAAATGTTTAGATAATTTAGTGAAAATCAATTTTAGATCTGTAAATTACCATACAATTATTTCTTTTTAAAATATAAATATCAATAAAGTTATATATAATATCAGTAAATTGCTAAACTCTATTTAACAGATTAAATATATTTTTTTAACCCATGTGCCTGATTATTAATTATAGAAATTTAAATTATATCATATTGTAATATTAATATTAATAATAATTTAATGCATGTAAAAATAATAATAAAAGTGTATATAATGGTAAAATTGAGAATATAGTTAACACAAAAGATGAGGTTGTGAGTTATATTCTTCATGTGAGTAAGGGTAGGTGCGCGTGAGTATAAAAGATGTATACAAATGTTGATGTATGTGGGGCGTGTTTGTATTTAATACATCTCAAATACACACGAAGATGTATACATATGTATATAGTTAATACATCCTCGTATAAAAGACACCTGGATCAATAAGTAACGCCCAATAATAAATAAATGAAGCTTTGGTTTGTTTATACTAGAGAAGGTGCAAGGTAATTAGTGAGAGCATATATTTAATGAAAATATAAATTTTATTTTGGATTAGAAGGCAAAAATGCCTCAAAATTTTTTTTCTTTTACAAAGATGATTGATATTTTAATTTTTTTAAAGCAATATTATTCTGTAACTTAAAAAAAAAAAAAGAAGTGTAATATTGCGCCTTCAGTTAGACTAATGTTTTACGGTTAAATTTTACTTTTACCAGCCAAAAAGTTGCACGTGTCTTCCATTATCCCTCTCAACTGTTCATCTTCTTCTACTTGAACCCCGATCCTCTTACACCATCTCAATCCAATCCGTCTTCTTTGCACTCTGCAATCATCCCATTCTTGCAGCTGAACGATGCAGCAGAAACAACGGCAACATCGCTTCTCAAGCACACACGGCTCATGAATTCGACGAACAAGATCATAAAGTAGAAGCAGAAGAAGAAGGTAGAGCTCGAAACCCAACCTTTGATTCCATTATTCTCTATCACTCTCTGTATTGTGTAATTTTTCCTTTTACGCTTCTTCTCATAATCACAAAATCACAAGGAAAGCACTAGATAATAATCTTGCCTGAAATAATCTTTTAGGAAAGTGGGTTATTAGATTTTTGGAAATTTGAGTAAGATTTTGAAGAATCTGTCCTCTCTGCATCGTTTGAATCCAAAAGTGAATCTATTTGCTTCTCTCTTGGTTCCATCCTTTCCGCTGGGTCTGCAACTCTAGAGAGTGCATCCTTCTTCGACTCCCTTGTTCTCTGCAACTCGGCTTCCAAATCTTCCTTTTGCCTCCCTAGGGTTGTGTTTGGTTGGAGGGTTTGAGGGTCATTTGGTTGAAAAATTTTGGAGGGCAGGGGAGCCAAAATTTCCCCTCCCCTTCCCTCATTTGGATCATCTTCAAATTGGGGGTTTTTTGGGGAGCCAAATATCCTAACCAATTTGCCTTCATTTATTCTTTTATATTCCATAAATGCCTACCAGTCTGAAAAAATTTCTGCACTCATCTCGTCATTTATCTGTCAAACTTTTTCCAATGAGTTCCTTCCATCACCGTTGATGTTGCAGCTCAATCCATCTTCTTCACAGTTGATCTGTGCAAATCAATGGCAACACCCCTCCCATGCGCCCGTGTGTAGATGAAGGAGGTCACGGTCTGTTGCAGGTCAATCTGTACGAGAAAGATGAAGTTGACGTTGCTCCTGCAGACTTCAACTCTGAGCTTTAGGTCTGCACTTAACTGGTTTGGAGCTAGAAGTCGATGGAGGCTTGAAGGAATTTGTTGGGCAAAGGCTTGAAGTGCAGTAATTCTCGCGTGCGTGTGGTTCCCTTGATGAGAACTTAAAATCATGTTTTTGCCTTTCGAAAAATTACTGTTAAACAACTTTTATGGGGCTGGTATAAAAAATTAAAACTTTTAATGGAAGTTTATATTATTTATATAAGAATAACTCTTTTGGAAGTTTTTTTAAATTACTGATCTAATTATTCAAACAACTCAGTTTCAAATTATTGTCCATTATAGATTTTTTTGTGGTTTAGATTAACTTGCATGAGATAGAAGGGAAAAAAAAAAAAGATAATATGAATAAGTATAATAGTAAAAAGTAAAAACCTCCTGTCCAATGAAACCAAAGAAGAAATAAGATAACGTAAAAATATTATCTTCTCTCTCTCCCAAGCCAAATACACCTTAAATTTTCAATTTTTCTTTCAAACCTCTCAACTTGTGACAGCGTCTCCATAGCCAGCCTTTGCATCTCACTCTTCTCTTTCTGAGCCATTCCTACTTCAACCCGTGCTTTGTCAGCCACTTCAACGGAGCTTGTAACTTATTTTTCAGCATTTCTACGCCTTTCTTGGACCTCTACAAATCTTGCAAACTCATATTGGTACTTCTGCTCCAGATGAATCTTCTCCACGAGCACGGTATTGGCCCTCACGTGCTCCCTGTAGCCAGGAGAAGCATACGACAAGAAGTTCGATTGAGGAACAGAGCGATCTTCCAACAAATGTTATTAGTCAAAGTAAAATTTAACAATCAAATGTTAGTCTAAATTAATAGCAGTGTAATATTGCACTTTTTTTAAAAAAATTTCAAAATAATACTATTTTTAAAAAAGTTCAGGATGTTAGGTGTGACATGGAAAGATTTCAAAGGATCTTTACCCTCTAAGCCTTTTATTTTCACACAAAAAATAAAGCCAACGAGTGTGGCATTGCCAAGGGATAATAATGTTCAAGTATATTTGGCAGGTACGTGTTTTTGACAAATAATAAATACACATAATAGTATAATTGAAACTCAGAAGCAGCTCAAATACTTGATTATAAAAAAATGAGAGTGTACATTTGTGTTTTTAACTAAATTCATGGCTTTGGTCAAATAATTGATTCTCAAATTTAATATCTAAGAAGGCACTGAATTGACTGCTGGCAACAGCAACAAACAAAAAAGGTGAGTAAATAAAGGTTACTGATTTGACCGAAGAGGCTATTATTCTCTTCTATTTTCTCCCTACTTCGATCATTGATGGCTCTTCTATTTACTCATTACGGCGGTTGACTTTTTTTGATCATATCATAATTATATGTAGATAAACATATATGATATACATTTAAAATAAATAAACACATTAATCGTCCATGTCTAATGTCTTTGCATAGGATAAAATATAGTCTGTTTAAAATTATAAAATATTTTTAATTAAATTTTATTTCACTAAAATAGTTACTTATCTTTAAATTAATTATATCTTTCTATAATCATCTCAAAATTAATAGAATGTTTCACTATAAAATAAATAAGAAGTGATTTATTTAATATAAATATTTAAAAAAATAATAATTATACTTTAAAAAATTAAAAATATTTTATATTATTTAATAGAGAGAGTGATATATATATACAAATAAATTTTTATTATGCTAAAATAGTTTTTTGACACCTAGAGTTTCAACCATAGTAGCTGCCCACACAGTCACACTCCACGCAGATGATCTTTTTCAACTGGCTAATTCATCTTAGATCCGGTGGCTTATATACTTTTTTTTTTTTTTAAACATCATTGAAACGGTTCCTTTATTTTTCATAAAATATTCTAGCCAAGCAATTTGTTTTTTTTAAATAGTATTAATAACGTTTTTAACATTATTTAAGATTTTAAATTGAAACTGAAATTAATTAATCATCAATTGATATATTAAAGCTAAATCCGTAACCATATATTTTTTTTTAAGAAAATGTGAGTGAACATCATTTCTGGGGGGCGTGGCCTGTTAGTGTAGAGCAGTTAAGTATCATAGCTGGCCGGGCGCACCCAGAAGATGTCTCTAGCCCTCCAAACGGTATTAGCAAGAGAGCCAAGGCATAGCCTACATACAGGGAGATAGACACCGACAGGAAGGGAAAGAAGGGTGTCAAGTCTCTCTGCTATGGCTGATAATCAAGCGGACGACGACGACGACGAAAGTTTCGGTGACTTCAAGTTTGTTTCTTTTCCAAATCAGCCTTTTCAGAACAATGGGAAAGGCCTCCCCGCCGATGATGACGAGTGGGGCGATTTCATGAACCATTCCAATCAGATCAATGGCGGATCGGTCCACACATCCAATGGACTCTTCTCTTCTAACTTTCCCTCTAGCCCCTACAACACTTGTAATTTTTTTGACCCGGTTCAGGTTTCCCAAGATCTTACACAGAAAAACAGCTCACCGGCAAAAGAGATCAATCGGGTTGAGTTGGCGCCGACCCCGGCAGAGCCAGAAAAGCCCCGGTGGAATAAGCCCCAGGGTGCCCTGCCGCTGTCAATCTTTGGCGAGGAGGAGGTGGAGGAGGAACCCACCGCAGGCAATCTTCCTTTTGGAGATGATGCCAAAGTACTCTCTAAAAAAAACAGTGATTGCGTGAAGAAAGAATCCGATTCGAATGGCGCCATTAGAATGATTGATTTAATTGCGAATTTGTATAATCAACGCCCTGAGATGAATTTTGACAACGGATCGATTTCAGTATTAAGTGTGTCTGATTTGAATTTGCCCGGAGCAAGCTCTAAAGTCGTCAGCTCGGTAACGACTGTGGCTGCTTCCAATGCAGACGCGAATGGATTAAACTCCATTCTAAACAATTTGAATTCTGATTCAGTGGATGGATTCGAGGACACTGGTGATGACGACGGTGGATGGGAATTCAAGTGGGCAGAATCTGAAATCCGAACTGTGAGCAATGATACTAAGGTAATGAAGGAAAATTGACATGATTGCATGGATGACCAAGGTTTTAAATCGTTGATGCTACCTATACTTAAGTAAGTGATGGACTTTAGATGATGTCGATCACCAGCATGCCTATTTTTTTGTTTCCTTATGAATTTCCAAAATGTTGGTTGTCAATCGAGCGCTAGAAAATCTTTGCTTTATAATTATATGGATATGGATTTATACAATTCTTATCCTTAGCATCCCATAGCAGGAGCGAGGGCCTTTCGATTATTCAGTATCAAAATGAAAAGAACGTTACAAAGGACATGCGAATGGGTATTTTCTTCTATTTTACATGCTTCATTTTGTGCTGCTGTAATTTGAGTCTGGATGTCATTTGGCATCTCTCATCATGTTATGTGATTTTATATACATTAATTAACTGATTTCAATGCTCTTAATTGGGGGATTGATTTCATCACATGAATATATTTGCTCTTTAATGTGTCTGTTAATATACACAGCCTTATGTTGATTTTAAAGGATGTAATTTAGTTAACATGTTTGCATTCTGCTGTTAAGGTAGAACAGACAAAGCATGAAACAACTAGTTCAGATGAATATGCATTCACCTTCAGCAATGGTGTGCTTGGAGTTGATGACATGTTGGACTCATCCAGCAGGATTTCCCACAAAGCTGATGAATGGAACCTGGGATTTGAGTTCAATCCAAGTTCTGTCATGCAAAATCATATTCAAGTATCAGAATCAGGTTCAAATCATAATTTGGTAAGTCACCTAAACATAGTTTCCTCATTTTGTTTGACAGTGGTTTTATTTTAAAGGAACATTCATTTGCACAATCTGAATTTGGTATTTAGGAAGCTCCAAAGTTGGCTGCCACAGATCCAGTTGGTGAGGAAGCATCCTGTAATCCTGATGATCGATATGTTGCACCAGAATCTCATCAGTTTGATGACTTGAATTTTGGCTCTAATTTCTATCCTAGTTCTCTGGGTGAAGTCCATCAGACATCAGTGTCAGATTCTAAAAGAAAGCAGGATGATGACAACAGAAATTTCAATGCTTTCCCTGCAAATTCTGATGTTCATTTTGATGTAAATTTGTTTCAATCTAAGGATGCAGTTTCGGAAGTTGGAACAGACCAGAAGGTACTGAATCAGTTTGGTATCTTATTTTGTATATCATGTTCTGTTATCAAGGTTTAAAAAGGATGTTAAATGTTAAATTTTTAATTTTGACCTTAGAGATTCACGAAAGAATTCTTGTTTTATTTAGTCATTAATTTAGTCTTTATTATTCTTGTGGTGATAATAGTATTGTTACTATTCTTTTCAATCTCCAGAAGAGCCAAGTAAACTCAGAGAACTGTAGGGAAGCCTTGTCCCTCTCAATATTTGGTGACGAGACACCAGATACTGATGAGCATTCTGTGTTTCAAGGTTTTTCTTCTGATGCACCAGCATCCTCTATAAGGAATAACTTTAATAGCGCTGGTTCCAACTTATCTATCAGTGATTTGATATGGAATTTATATGGTCAAGCTGAACAAAAAACTTCTCATGTCACACCAGAAGTAAGTGAAAATGGTCAGGTAGAGCCGGACTCCAATTTGGTTACTGGTGACGATGATTTTAATGATGACTCCTGGGAATTTAAGGATGCTTCACATGGAACTAGAAGTCTTGAATCTGTGGAGAACACTCATTCTAATCACAAACCACAAGTCAGTGAAAACGGGCTACAACCTTTACCTACAGTTTGGAAACCTGATTTGATTAATGAGGATGAATCATGGGAATTTAAGGCTGCCCTCTGTTTAGCAGACAGCAAATATCAGGGATCTGTTATAGATCACAAGGATTTTCCTCTGCAGTCGTCAACAAAAGTAGAGCCACCTGATTATGTAGATTTCTATTGCAAATTGACTGATGAATTGTGCAATGCTGTCCTGTTCCATCTCCAGAATCTCAAGGTTGGTAACTATTTGCTGGCTTGCATCCTTTTATAGAAAATGTTAATGTGTAATGATTCTAAAATTTATTTTTTACGTGAAATACTTAGAATTGTGAAAGCGTTGCTACACTTAATGGTGAAGAAGCAAAAGCAAAGGCACTTCAGGAAGAAATGCAGGTTAGTTTATGTACATGGGCAATATTATCGTTGTGTTCAGTCATGCATGTTTGTTATGATGTGTGACAGTATGTTATGTTCAAATTCTTCTTATGAGCACAGCATCTTTTTCCCCTAGGGGTGCAAGGGGACAGCCTGATACACCCCGGTAATCTGATTAATTTTGTATGATTTGATATGTGAAAAATAATAATAAATTGCTAGGGGATGAGATACTTCCTTGATAGTGAAGTACACCTTTTGTAGACAGTGGTCACAGTTCAGGGGTGTGCTTCACTTTTCTGTCTAATATTATTTTGAAATCTTCTACATAATCATGTAAACGCTGATGTGATTTCTAAATGGAATCCCAATTTTGATAAACTCATAGGTGGCCTTCGGAATATCTTTGAGAAATGTAATATGCTTTCTTTACGTTTCTATTTTTTACTGTATTTTTATATCTCCCTGCTTGTTAATGGTTATTATCTCTGTTGTACTTAAATAAAAATTCACTCCTGTTTCCTCGTCTCTTGTTTCAGGAATTATTTGACATGCTACATCAGTACAATGTCCTACTAAATGAACATATTTCAGAGGATCAATCTACAAGAAATGTGTGTCTTGACAAGCTTATTGAAGTTTTGAAGGAACCTAGGTTTCAACCTCTTGAGTCAGATTACAGGCTAACATCAAGGTTGTCAATGGTATGTGAAGTTCCTAACATATTGAGTATTTTATGTTTAGAAATCCATGCCTTTGCGCGTGCAAATGGTATTGTGAACCGTCAATGGAGTTTGATAAACTTATAGCAGTTTACTTGTTGTATAACTGCCTCAGGCTCTGCCAGAGGAAGTAATTTTTGTTGGTTCCCTTTGAGATTAATTTGATGAATATGGACTGCAATTACTCATTGGTATTTTTAATATATTGATAATCTTTTGTACAGGTTGATTTAGCTTTAATAATACCTGTCACTGTATAATTATTTTGAATAGGCAGAGACAAATATACGATCTGCTATTGAACTCCTAAAAGATGCGCTATCAACGTTAAAAGTTCTCCAGTTGAGGTCAAGAGAAGAACAATCTAGTTATCTTACTATGTGGTCCAAAATAGCCTTGGTTTGTTCTGAGGAGCTCAAACATGGTGCCTTCATTTGGAACAAGTCAGCAGAGAGGAATGTCCACGACCAAATATTAGCTAACCCAAAAGGTAAGCTACTGATTATTGTGTATAAGGTTTGAAGAATTTTATATTTAGCCCCAGATAAACCCTACCTGTTTGTGGGATGGTTGGTTGACACAGGCTATCAGTATATTCATGCACTTGGAGAAATTTGTAGAGTGGCAGAAATTGTTGGACTCTCAGCCAAACTTCACAAGCCATGGATGTTGTTGGGTTCTGCAGATCCTGCTAGATTGTTTGCTCTTTTGAATGAGTCTTATACCATATGGTCCGATTCAGGACTTGAAGATGCCCTTCTTCGTGTATCCAATCAAAGTAATGTAGAGCAAGAAAGCATTTCAAGGCAATTGCTTGAATCCATCAAGTATATTCATGAGCTTGACGAGCAAGAACTTCAGAGCTGCATTATCAGTGGAGAAGAAACTACTTGCCAGTTGTCAGCCTTACCTGCTGGTTTTATACCAGGTATGTGAACAAAAGTTTTGGCTATCTTCAAAGTGCAAGCAACGAAACTTGGCTGAAAATATTTACATGAGAGATAGATAGAGTGTCAAGTGTGTCTCACATGAATGGTAGATCTCACAGCATGTGAGTCCCATACATTGTCTAGTCTAATTGGTTGCAAAGTCTCAAGATGTCCAATTGCCCATTATTAGCGATTAGGAAATCAATCTTTGACTTGTGAAAGTGTATCACCATAAACGTTTTATCCTGTTTTTTAAAATTTCGGATCTTCCTTTGGTCCTTTTCCTTTTGGCTATTTTTTACATGCATACCCTCTCCAGCGGAATCTTTTCATGCTAGTCAAAAAGATACGATTGCAGTTGAACCTTTACAGATATTCTCGGGTGATACTGTAATTTAGAGCATGCCTGCCTGTCGGGTCAATCTTTCATACTATTGAAATACACCCTGGGGGGGGGGGGCACGCAAAGGAACCGGAACCAAGAAGACGTGTGTGTCACGGGATCAAAGTTGTTAAGGGTCTTTCTGCATTCTATGATCCTACTGAGTCTCTTTTGTTCATTTAAAAAATGAAAAAGAAAGAATATGGATAATTAATCATTCTGGGAAACCTTTGTATGATTTTCTTTTTCATCGTGATGTTTTTCAGGATTGAAAATGGTAACCTGGAACGGGAAGCAGTATTTCCTCACGCTTGCAAACTTGTGGATAAATCTAGTGAATTCAGATTTTCCTTGTTGAGTCAGCGACGCCTGGCAACGTTTGTATGCTGCCTATAGCAAGGGGACTCTTCCATCAGACTGTTCAAGTGCTGTTGAAGCTTTCTTGTGAAAAGAGTAGTGTAAGCGAGATTTCGGCAGCAACCAGCTTTTTTCCCTGGTCGAAGCCTTCCGGAGCTCTCTCAGATGTGTTGCTGGTCTGGAATGATTGATTGTATGGGGTGAAATGTTGCGAGTCAATTTTTGAAGTCCTCAGGATCACATTTGCATGACTGCTTGTGCGATCAGGCAAAGCTTCCGGTAAGGGCTGGTAAAACATAAAAAGCTACCGGTTAAGATATTCTTTGTCGAATAGGCTAGCATTCTTTATGTGGAATCTGGATGGCAGTCATTGGTTATTAGAAGTGCTGTACTACTTGGAGTTTGTAATTTAAGATAAAGATATATACGGATAATAATGAAATTCCATATATGCTAAATAGAATATAATTCGGGAGGGAATGATTTTGCTTGATTATCAGATGATGTCTACCTTGTAAGTTGTAACGCAAATGGGAATTCTCAATCATGGTTGTGATGTGGCTAGAGGAAGTTGACGGCATGTTTAAAATTCTTTGATTTAAATGCAGAATTATGATGGAATCAATGTACAATTAACTTCTATACTGAGCTGTCATTATGTGATTTATTTTTTACTATATAGACCCATCCTTTACTCTGATAGGCGCTCCCATTCCCATGCTTAGAGAACCCAACAAATTGCACAAGTCACGTTGATGAAGGATTAATTAAGGTCGTCTATTTTTTTTCTATTATTATTATCGCACTTAATTTGTTTCCTTTTTGGATCCAGTGGACTGTGAGTACTATGTGTGCGTGTTGTATTTTCATTGTAGATATTCGCGAACGCTGAACGAAGACAGGCCAACAAGATCACATAGCGTCGTAGATGGCAAGACGAAGACTATGGGAGATGCATAGTGGGAATTTTTCATGTCTCCCTTCAGTTTATTGAATCTGTTCGGAGAGGAGCAACCCAAGACTATGATCTTGGCATCAGAGCTAAAATGAGTTCTAAAATATCGCCGTTTTACAATAATTTGTTTCCTTTTCTTGTATTCAGTCTTTAGAGGAAGTGCCTCTTTGGATAATGTTTTTAATCAATTTTAGAGGTCAAAATTATGGTTTTGTATAAATATATCCAATCATCCCTATTATATGTTAACATTAACTATGTACTTAAAACCACATTTTCCTAAAAATATACAAACATCTATTATACATGCCAAAATTAATTTTGAACCCAAAAACATGTTTTTTTTTAAAAAAATAGCCAAATATATCTATATGTGTTAAAATCAATTATAACCCCAAAATATGATTGGTAAAATAATTTATATGATTTTCAAATAAATTTTAGAAAAATATAATTGAAAATATAAATTAAAAAGTAGTTAATAATAGCTTATGAAATAACTATAGTTTTGAATTCATAATTAATTTTAATATGTATTAGAGTATTTGAATATTTTTAAGAAAATTATAGTTTTGTGTTCATAGTTAATGTGGGTGCATGTAATAGATATTTAGATATTTATTTGAAAAATAAGATTTTAGATTTAGAATTGATTTTAAAATATCATAGGAATGTTTGGGTATATTTTTACAAAATCATAATTTTACTTAATTTTTAGTTCTGCTTTTTAATTCTACTAATTAATTATATTAATTATTTTTTATAATCAATTATATTCCATTGAAATTCAAACGCACCCGAAATTGTTTGTAGATTCTCAATCAATTCCATAACTGGTTGGTTCACTAAAATTCGAAAAGAGGCTTTAAAAACTTTTGATTGAATTTTTTTTACCAAACTTAAATTATTACAATTTTTCCGATTAAATCCGACAAGAATGGTTTTTTTGGATATTTGATCACACTCTCTGTTACACTTGATTTCAATTGACTTAAATTTAATAATGAAACTAAGTCATAACTATAGCATAATTAATTTGAGATAAATGTGCACTGTTCTATTACTTCTCTAACTTCACATAAAATTTTGGTTTAATCCCTTTGTTTTTTATAAAGTATATTTTTAGTCCTCAAATCCTTTTTTCTTTGGCCAATTAGTCATTAAATCCTAACACTGGTAGGGTTAACTAATCATTTTTTTAATAGTTGTTATTTAAAAAAATCAAACTTTTTTTGGACAAATTAAAACAAATCAAACTTAATTATCAACATTTTAAGCATGTTTTGTCAAAGCTTAAAAGTTTAATGTTAGCTTAAAACTAAATAGTATTAGAATTAGAAGACTAAAAATTCACTTTGTAAAAATAAGAGAGTAAAATAAAATCTTGAGTGAAGTTTAAAAAATAAAAAATTCAATTTTGTCTTCATTTAATTGATATATTTTTCAAATTAATTCAAATTTAAATCATAAAATTGTTAGAAATAATTAATCACGCATCCCTTAATATTTTTATTACAATTGTTTTTTTACATGGAATCCCTTAATCTTGTGAGGAACTCACTAACTAAAATTTAGTTAAAGTATGTTTTTAATCATTTAACTTTATATAAGAAATTTATTAATTTTATAAAATATATTTTCAGTCATTTAATACTAATATTGCTATTTTTATTATAAAAAAATTTACATTGAACTTTTATATGCCGACAAAATATTCTTAAATAGTTACGTATTAAATTTAATATTTTTAAAATAATAATAATTGACATAAAAAATAATTATTTAAAATTAATGATATTTAGGTTAAATGATTAAAAAGATATTTTATAAAATTAAAAGATTAAATTAAAATTTTATATAAAATTAGAAGATAAAAAATATATTTTATCCTTAAAATTCTTATCATAATCATAACATTTTACTAATAATCACTCCTTCAATCAAAAAATATAAGAGATTTTTAATTGAATCGCACCCCTCAATAAAATGCATGTTTGGATAATATTTTTAATTATTTTTAAAGGTCAAAAATATAATTTTATAAAAATATATCCAAACACTCTTATTACATGTTAAAATCCATTATGTACCTAAAATTATGTTTTTCTTAAAATATTCAAATACCCATTATACATGTTAAAATTAATTTTGAACCCAAAACATATTTTTCTTTAAAATATCCAAACACTTTTATATATATCAAAATCAATTATAAACCCAAAAAAATGATTTGTAAACTAATTTATATAATTTTTGGATAAATTTTTATAAAAGTATAGTTGAAAATATGAATTGAAAAATAAGTAATAGTAACTTACGAGATGATTATAGTTTGTATTCATAATTAATTTTTACATATGTTTGAAGTGTTTGGATATTTTTAAAAAAATCATGATTTTAAGTTAATAGTTGATTTTAACATGTACAACGAGTGTTTGGATTTTTTTAAAAAAATATAGTTTTGGATTCATAATTTATTTTAGGAAAAATATAACTTTTGGTTCTTGGAGTTTACTTGTATTTTGTTCTAGGTCCCTACATTTTTTGTGTTTCAAATCCCTACATTTTTATTTTTTGATGTTCTAAATCCTTTCAAGGTCCTTACACTTTATTCATTTAGGGATTTAGAATATTAAAAAATAAAAATGTAGGAATCTAAAATATTGAAAAAAAGTGCAAGAATCTATAACAAAACACGAATAAAATATAGAGATCAAAAGTTATATTTTTCTTTGATTTTAACATGTAATAAAGATGCTTGTATATATTTCGATTCTACTTTCAATTTTGATTAAAATTTATCTTATTAATTAATTTTATAAATTAATTATATATCTCATAACATAATCAATTATATTCAAAATCAATCATATTAATCAAATTTTTTCAGAATTAATTATATTTGACTAAAATCTAAACATACTCAAAGTAATTATTTATTTTTAAACTAATATTATATTTACACATTTATTTAAGGTATTAAAAATCGGATCGATCATTGAACCAGCCATGATGAGAGGTTAAAGATTCAATCGGGGTTAAATTAAAATCAGACTGATCATAATAAAATAATATAATTTAGATAAAAATACATTAATCTTTCAAATATTTTTTCATATTCAAGATTTAATATATCACACAACATACTAACAATGAATTTTTGGTCCCGTAGCACTCCATCATGCGGCGGCGGCGGCGGCAACAGCAATAACTATACATAATAAATAATATAATATGAATATTTCTTGTTTAATTAAGGTACTCTATTCAAGTAAATAAAATTGAGTAACCAATGCCAAACGAAAAGTTAGAGAGCCACGTGAATTACAAGTAACATGATAGTATCTCAACCCCAGCAATATATCAGTATTTTTTGACTTTCTCCTTTTACCCAACCACTCTCCTTCTCTTTCTTTTCACTTCTCCTCATTCACTTTTATAGTTTTCTCTCTCTTTTCTCTTTCTTCATTGTTCTCAGCTATCTCGCTCTTCTTGCTTCATTTCATTCCCCCTCACTCACGCGCCATTTCTCTATCTCCTCTTCCATCCTTCCACCTTCACACTGAGAACGCTGAGAATGCCCGAGAAGAGAATGCACTCACTCACTCTAGGTCTGGGGTTGACGGTCGAGAACACTGAGAAGAGAAGGGAACCAAATAGCAGAGATGAGCAGCACTGCCACTGAGGGAAAGGGAGACCAGGAGACTCGATGGCGACAGTCATGAAGGTGAGAGTGAGACCGAGAGCAAGACAGAGAAGTGAAGAAGGTCCTCTAATCTGAGCCTCTAACTTAGTCCCCCACAAGCAGCTGCTTTTAGCTCACTGCTTAAGGATAGCCGACACGATGGAGAAGAGGCCCAAGTCCAAGAGCTAAAGGATGAAAAAAAATGTCCGCTAGTGAAGGGTTCCTTTTTTTTTTTTTTTCCTTTTTCTTTCTAACCCCAAAATGACATTGTTTTGAGGGCACCTTTTAAAAAAAAAAAAAAAAATCAACCTGCCCAACCTACCTAGCTTGTGGGGTTAGATCAGTTGATCTCAAGTCAGTCAATGCCATGTTGAAATAGAAAACCAAACCGAGTGATCAGTCACAGTCGGTTTGCCAGCCTCATCTGGTCTGACTTGGTTTTAAAAGCAATGCATTTACCTCTTATTTAATAAAACGTTTTTTTTAAATAAATATAAAATAATTTATTTATTACAAACACTTTTAAAAAATATATAGTAATTATATCTTGTAATATTAAATTAAAATTATCTTATATTTTTAAACATTTAATTTTTAAAAAAATGCTGCTACATTTTTAAGGAGGGAGTGTACTTTAGTTCAATGATTTGGACAATTTGAACAAAATGTTGAGGGGAAAAGATTGAACAACGTGCGTATTTGAATAAGCTCAAATAATTTGGCCTAAAACAAAAAATATAAGCTCAGTTAATCAATTATACCATCTTGACAAAAACACCCAAACACTCATTTTTAAGAAGTTGATTTTTGTCCAGAAACTCCGCTCTATTGTAAACTAATATGACTTGCTTTCAATTTTCAATTCTAAACGTTGAGCCATTATTATTTTGTCAAACTATAAAATTATCAAACATACCCTAATCGATTTGGATTCAAAGCTTGTATAATTAGCTGTTTTTAATCATTTTAGCTCAATTTAAATGCTATGCATACTTTCATTATTCTTGAAGCTCGATTTTTACAGTTAGCATCTCATCCTATATGAGGTGTCATCACATATAATTGGGTAAATAATCAGCATACACGTGTGTATAAAATTGATAATTATATAAATATTAAATGATCACTGTTATATATATTGTTAAATAAAATTCAACAGATTTCATAATATTATATGTGAATTTATCAATATTACAAGATAGTGTCTTTACTGTAATTTACCCATCTAAATTTGATTCTGATCAAGTTCATTTAAACATCTTTAGTTTTATAAAAATTAATTTTAAAAAATAACATTCAAACATAATTATATTATAACATAATTAAGTATAATTAAAATGATTAATTTTTTATAATTATTGTGTTCAACCGATATCGGCAAAGGCCCTAACGAGTTTCTTCATTAGAACCGTTTTCCATTCTCCTAATCCCGTACCCTCCCGATCCTCTGAATTGCACAACCCTCTCCCCTGTTTCCTCTCACTCTGCAAAGCGAAGGAGCGCCGCCGCCGCCGACTTGATCCCAGCGTTTTGCT